GGCCTACGATACCCTCAGGATGGCCAAAGACAGCCCAAGAGGCCCCAAAGAGGCCTCCAAGACGGCCCCAGAGGCCTCCGAGAGGTCCTCCAGGAAGGCTCGAAAAGGCCAAAATCATTGATTTCCCTTTGTTTTTCGACGGATGTTGTCATTTGCGCCTTTTCGGCCATCAGACGGCCCAAGACGGTCCAAGAGACCCCCAAGATCGCCCGAAAGGCCTCCAAGATGGCCCTTATGTCGGGCCCAAAAGAGCCCCAAGACCGGCCAAGAGGCCTCCGAGACGCCCAAGATGGAGAAGACGGCCCTGAAGCGCCCGAAGAGGGCCCCAAGTCGGTTCAGAGAGGCCCCCAAGTCGGCTTCTGACGGTGTCAGATGGGTCAGGAACGCCCTAAGACAGCCAAAGAGGCCCCCAAGAAGCCCCCAAAGGCACTCAAGAGGCCCGCAAGAGGCCCAGGGACGCTCCCAAGAAGCCTCCAAAAGGCTTCCAGGAAACTCCGCAGAGGCCTCCCAAGAGGTCTCCCAACAGGTTCCCAAGAATTCTCCTCCTCCTACTTCTCTTCTTGTTCTTCTTCTTCTTCCTCCTCCTCCTCCCATCATCCTCATCCTCATCCTCTTCTTTCTCCTCTTCATCATCCTCCTCCCTCTCCTGATCCTCCTCCTCTTGCCTCTTGCTCCACCACGCATTCCCCGAAGGCTTTCCAAACCGACTCGGGGAACAACTGGCCCGACAGCTTGGCCAAGCTCTAGCCCAGCTGTCGGCCACATAGGCACTTGCAAAAGGGCAGGGATCAGGGAGGCTCCAAGAATCAAGAGAGAATTTTCCAAAGGCCTCCAAAACAGTTCCAAGAAGGAAGCCCCCAAGATGCCTCAGGCTCCCAGGAAGCTCCCAGACCCCAAGAGTGCCCCAGAGGCTCCCAAGACGCCCCGTCCTTGTTCCTCCTCCTTCTGATCTTCCCTGCCATCCTCCCCCAAATCTTCCCCGAAGGGTTTCTACAACGGCTGGGGGAACACATGGTCCGATAGCTTGGCAGAGCTCTTGCCACAACGCTCGGCCACATGGGCGATTCCAAAATGCAGGGGGGGCGGTGATTCGCCGTAGGCGTCTTCGATGTAATGTTTCTGAAAAGCGAATAGGTGGCCCGCTGGATCCGGAATCCGCTGGACAACGTTGTCTCCTATTAGGCTCCTTTGTCCTCTGTTGTCTCCCGTTGTATCCCAATACTGATATGTCTATCTCTATTCCTATCTCCCTATAACGTCCCTAAACAACTTGTCTGTAAACGTGATATGTTAGCCAGCGTGGGCCCGAAGCAAAGATTCCTTACAATATATGCGGTGCAATCGAGGTGGTGCAATCAATGCCGTGCAATCTAGGTGCTGCAATCCATGTGGTGCACTCTATGTGGCGCAAAACAATGCAAAGCGATGCAAAGCAATGCAACGCAACACAATGCAAAACAATGCGAACCAATGCAAAGCACTGTAACGCAATGAAGAGCAATGCAAAGCAATATAGCACAATTCCAAGCAATGCGAAGCAATTCAACACAATGCAAAACAATGCAAGCATGCAGAGCAATGCAAAACAATGCAACACAATGCCACGCAGTGCAAAACAATGCAAAACAAAACAACGCAATGCAACGCAACGCGGCGACGGGCGGCGACATACTGGCTGGACCACCACTGGGGCCCAACGGCGGCGACGAGCCAGCTGGACCGCCATCGGGACCCACTTACCTTAGAGCACACGTAAGAAGCCTTAAGCGCTAAGACTTTTTGGGGAATGCCGCTTCTCAGACCGAGCAGGTGCGTTGCTGGAGCCAGAATTGGGCGGGTGACATTCTCTACCGCCACTGGGGCCCACTCACCTTAGAGGACACGAAAGAAACCCTAAGCGCTAAGCCTGTTTGGGGAATGCCGCTTCTCAGAACGAGCAAGTGCGTTGCTGGAGCCAGAATTGGGCGGGCGACATTGTCTCCTATTGTCTCCCGTTGTCTCCCATTGTCTCCTGTTGTCTCGGGTTGTCTCCGGTTGTCTCCCGTTGTCTCCCGTTGCCTCTGGTTGTCTCCCGTTGTCTCCCGTTGTCTTCCGTTGTCTCCTGTTGTCTCCAATTGTCTCCCGTTGTCTCTCACTGCCTATCCGCATCCCTATCCGTATCTCTACTCTCTATTTCTATCCCTATCTCTATCTCTATCCTTCTATCCCTATTCATGAGATTTCAACCCCAATCCCTATCCGATATCCCTGTCCATAGCCCAGAACTGATCCCTATACCCTTGTATCCGTAGCCATATACCTTGTATGCCTATCCTTATGCCGACCCCTCCATTGTGGTCTCCATCGCAACTGTGTAAAGCTGCTTAGGGTCTTCCGCTGCAGGATTTCTTGCATAGACTTCGCTGCCACCATTGCTTCCACGCGTGCTTTCCATTGAATTTGATAATTCGTTTTAACCTGCGACTGTCGTTTTACATGAGCCAATAACTATGGTTTTAGTTTTGCGTAGCCGTCGTTTCTTGCTTCACCACATTATTTAGATCTCGTTGTGCGTGATCTTGACGTTGATGCTGGATTCGGCCGCACAGCTGACGCTTCAGCTTCAGCTCGAGGTCAAGATTTGGCGTTCGCATTCGCGGTCGCTTCCCCTTGCGCTCGAGCTGTCATTTTAACTTCAACTACATAAGCCCCTTGGCATGTATTAAGCTTTGGCACGTTCTAGCGTCATATTCGCTTCGGTGTTCACTGTGCTCTAGCTGCCTCGTTCGCCTTCGATGGCACTCTTTGGATTCAATACGTTCCTGTCGCAGTCGCCAAGGCGATGGAACCGAAGAATCTTACACTGTCCCCGGTTGTGTGACTGAATGTTCTTCACTGGCGACTCGCCTGCGATCGGTCGACGACCCGCCCGCGAACCGCGACAAACGCGCCTCGCCCCGCAACCCGCCTACGACCCGCATGACAACGCGTCCCGCGACCCACTGACGAACCCGCCTGAGATCCGCCGACGACCCGCCTGAGATCCGCGCCCGCTGGGACAAACGCCCCCTTACCCGTTTCCGCAAATGTGGGCATATCCACGGTAGAGAGTATTCAGTCCTGTGCCGTCGCTTTCGCATTGGCTGAATTGCATTGCACCGCACAACAATCACCCCATTGACGGACACCCCAAACGAAACAACGAGAACCCACAAAAAAGCACAACGACGGGATACCATACCACGACTTCCCCACTCAGCCGGCTAACAAGGGCCACAACACGAATCACGGCCACTGGCGCTGGCACTCCCACAGAAATTCGAAAAAGCGACACCCGCGAAACGATACAGCACATACAATTCCCATGCTGGGGTAGCCTCACAAACAATTGTCACACCACCAACACTCATCCACGGTTGCATGTAACTGATCGGGAATAAGGGAAGAGGGGGACCTCACATGTGTCTCGTGACGTTCACATGTCCCTGCAGGTGTGTGTGTGTGTGCGTATCGGGGGAGCTCTTTGGAGACCATCTGTGGGTGGAGGGAGGGGATCATGATGTTTATGCGGGCGGCAGGGGAATGATCTTCCCGGGATAGGGATTATGGGAAGGCGCTGGGCTGTAAGGATTTGTTTGGGGGGGTAGGAGAGTCCTGCGGGGGGAGACGATCTTTTCAGGGACCCTGTGATAGGGGTATTCTTAGGGTGCGCGGGAGATGTCTTCGGAAACGGCCCGTGGGATGAGCTCACGAAGATGTGGCACCAAACACAGATAGTACGGGCAGGACGTGCCAAGAGGTGCGGTTCTTCCACAAATTGCCAAGCCAAGATTAACTCCTCCCGCCATAACTCGCCCTTCACATGTCTCGAGATATCCTAATAATTTCTCCAAATGTTCCATGGATCTGCAATGAACCCCTGAGGATTTCTAAGGATGTCCTCAGGATGTCGGAGGTGTTTCCTCAAGATTTATCAACATGCCTATGGATTCTCTGCTTACGAGTCGCCGATGTCCACCGACTGGTATTGTCCACATCGGATGGAGGGGCGAGGGGGGGTCGCGGATGCCCGCCGATCCGAAGTAGCAGCATGGAGAGGGAACCTGTGGACCGAAAAAGCCGTTTCTGCTCTGACAAGACGATGTTTAGGGGGCCACATGCGAACCCTACCCCTACCCCCCGCGATTTCTGAGGGGGAGGGTGGGGTTCACTTCGCTCGGGAGCTCGCGAACGAAGTGAACCCCACCCTCCCCCTCAGAAATCGTGGGGGGTAGGGGTAGGGTTCGCAGGTGGCCCCCGAATGTTGAGCTGCGCCGGTGTCCACCGAACTGCGTGCTTGCAAGGAGATGGGGAGAGGGGGCGCGGTCGGCGGTCGGCTCCCGGTCGGGTGGGGGCGGGCCGTGTGGCAGCGGTTCCAAGGACATATTCATCAAGGGCCGCATCTCCGTGGCGGGTATTGGCCCGCAGTCGCAAGACCACTGCGCATGATGCGAGCCGAATTGCGCGGGAGAGCACACGACCACACCACACGTCACGCAAAGACGATGTGATGGCCCACGCGGGTCCCTTTCTGGTATTCAGTATCTCGAATCGCACCACGTGCCCCACTGGTATATCAACTCTCCTCTGCGCTGCCCTCCATTGCCTAAACACTTTTCTGGAGGAATCAACATGAAGCGGGTTCGAACTATCAAGTCGCACCACCACGTCGACGATTGAACCCAACCTGTCGCACCTAGAACATGCTCTGAAGAGGTTCGACAGCTCCCAGCCATTTTCTGAGAGGTGGTCAATGGTCTGGGCTGCGACGATGTTTGAATCAACTGATTCAAATCTCAAACAAACCCCTGATTAATGAACTTGAACTCGGGTCTGGTCTATCAATAATATCGGTATGTGGGCCCATCAACCATCATTTGGACGCCATTCAATACCTATATCCGCATGTACCTTTCTTGCATTTCGCGCCATGGTCGCTGCCCCTGTCATCTCGACGAATCCCGCTCAGCCCCACCCGCAACCTCTGCTATGGAATCGACGTTGGTAAACTCACGTTCTTCAGCACCCACCTCTGAAACTTGCCTGCACTGGGCGGCAACCTACCTACACTTGCCTCTCACTGGCGGCATGCCTCGGCCAATCAACATCTCCTCCCTTGCTCCCGCGGATTCCGGCTCAACTATCATCCTTGGTCCACGCCCTCTCGCCACTCCACCCTCCTGGACTGGTGTCGTCTCGCGCTTCTCATCGTATACAGCAAGACGGGGACTGGGACTTTGGTCTGACCAGTACCGGTGTAGGTGTATATAGTTGACTCCGAGAGGACGCGTTTCGTGGACGCTTGCCTGAAAAAGTCACCCTGGCACGTGGGAACCAGGGGGGGCCCCCCTCCCAACACATTGAGCAACCCCAGGAAACTCGGGAGCGGCCAAGAGGGGGGTGTCCAAGAGGGGGGGGGTGCAAATCATGACCGGCGGCATGTGCGCGGCCCGGCGGGGGGGGGCCAGGGACGTAATGAAATAAGAAGAGGCGCCGTGAAATCTGGGGAAATATCATGGTCCACGCCATGATATCCACCCCCCCTAGCCATCACCTCCCTCTTTGTCGCCCCCGAGAAGCCAGGGACCCTCCCCCCCTTGACAGCGGCCTCCGCAGCCGGGGGTGCCCCACCCTGCCCATGGGGGGGGAGGGTGTTCAAACCAGGGAAACCCCCCCCCTCCCCACCCTGAGGGCAAAGATGCGCCGAAGGGGGGGCGCAAACCCCCTGTCCAGGGGCGGTGTTCGAACGGGCAGAGGGGGGCGTCGTCGCCGTCGCCGTCGCCGTCGCCGTGACCGTCCCCGTCCGTGTCCCCGTACGTCGCCGTCACCGTCGTCTTCGCCGAAGTCGCCGTCGCCGTGGTCGTCGCCGTCGTCGTCGTCGTCGTCGTCGGTTGCAGGGGGGGTGCCTCTCGTCGTCGCCGTCGTCGATTGCAAGGGGGCCCCTCCTGGTTCGAAGCCCCCCCTTGCAGCTCAAGGGGGGGGCCCGCCCCGTTCCACCCCCCCTCCCTGCAACTCGAGGGGGGGGGCTTTCCCTGGTTCCAACCACCACCGTGGACAGAGAGAGGGGGGCGGCCCCCCTCCGGTTCGAGTCCCCCTTCCCATTAGGACAGAAGGCTGGGAGCCCAATTCGAACCACCCGCCCCCTTGCACCTCAGGTGAGGGCCCCCCCCGAGTTCTGACCCCCCCCCCTTCCCAGGCCTCCCGCAGGGACGCCGTGGAGCGACTTTCATAGAACGCCTGAAGATCGCAAGGTTGCCGCGTGGCTGGACCCCAACCCCCCGACGCCAATGAACGACATGCACGTTCGGAAAATCGGCGGTGGACAAACCTCCCTTTCGTAAACCTCCCCTTAGTGAAAACGGCCTAGGACCGACACCGACGGACCTGGACCCGCAAAAATGGCGGCCGCGACGCCCTCTCGCGAACCGAAAACGGCCGATTCCTTAATCGACGCGTCAGGGTAGGAGGTCTATCAACCTCCGAGAAAACTGGCCCCCCTGGCCAGAGGGGGCTCAAAATCTACACCCACGCGCTGATCGAGATCGGCAAGTCTTCCGTGCTCGCCTGAGCGCATGCCGCGCCTCAAGGCGTATGGTACTCCTGGACACACAAGTAAATAGACACAAATCCCGCCGACCCCTTGGGGATCATCGGCGCGTGAGATGCTTCCCCCTCCCCAGACCCCCTCCCCCGGAGCCCCGTCCGGTCGATTTGGAAAAGGGGGGCCGTCCGGCCCGAGCTCATCAGGGGGGTCCGGCTTCCAGGGCTCCTTTTGGAGGTCCTGGGGCCGCCCAAGAGGCCCCCAAGACGGTGCAAGAGGGCCCCGAGACGCCGCAAGATCGTTCCAAGACGGCTAAATGAGATGCTTCCCCCTCCCCAAACCCCTCCCCCCGGAGCCCGGTCCAGTCGATTTGGAGGGGGGGGGCGTCCTGCCCGAGCTCATCAGGGGGGTCCGGCCTTTCCCGGGCTCCTTTTGGAGGTCCACGACAGCTTCTGGCGCCGCCCAAGAAGGCCCCCGAGACGGTCCAAGAGGGCCCCGAGACACCAAAAGATCGTTCGAAGACGCCTAACATGGGCCGAAGACGGCCCAAAAGGACGCCAAGACATTCCAAGAGGCCTCCCAGGAGGCCTCCAAGAGGCTCAAGTCTTCAAATTCCTTTAGGAAAACGTGCATTTCTAGCACATAAGAGTTTTCCGCCTTCACAGCGCGGAAGCCCTTCCAAGATGCCTCCAAGACCGCCCCAATACGGCCCCATCCCAAAGAGCCCCCAACACAGCACCAGAGGCGCCCCAAACGACCCAACAGGGCTCCAAGACGGCCCCAAGAAGGGCCCGAAAGGGGGATCGCGAAACGAACATTCCAGCCGTCCGCCTCTAGAGGCTCCCAGGAGGCCACAAGAGGCTCCAAAAAGGCGTCCAGACGCCCCCGAAAGGCGTCCAGACGCCCGAATCTGAGAGCCTCCCCCAGTGCACGCCCTGGCACCGCCGCCGCCAGCGACGACAACGGAAGCGACGACGACGACGACGACGACCACGACGACGATGACGACGACGACGACGACGACGACGACGACGACGACGGCAACGACGACGACGACGACGACGACGACGGCGACGGCGACGACGACGACCGACGACCGACGACGACGGCCGACGGCCGACGGAGAACGGACGACGAACGACGGACAACGGACGACGGACGACGGACCACCGGCGACCGACGGCCGACGACCGACGACGGGTCCCCAAGGAGTGGCGGCAGCCGGGGCGGCCGACTTCCGCCAGGCACGAGCAGACTACGGTGAACACGGGGCTGGAAGCGGACTCCCAGAAGCAGACGGCGACCACGGCGACGACAGCGACGACGGCGACGGCGACGCCGCGCAGAGCGGTCCCTGGCCGTTCGGATGACCAGAAAACCGCCGCAGACTGCTCGCCGTCCCTCGGCGTCCCAACGGGGGGGGGTCCTTTTGGACGCCCGAAATGGGCACGGAAAGAATGAGCACAATGCCCAACAACAAATGCTGTCCCAAACCAACAGCGGCTGCTGTTGGGCAGGCGGCCTCCTGTCTCAAACGGACACAGGCCGCGGCGGCGCGGACAGCGAGTCCTGTTCACAATGAATAGGAACTGCTGTTGGGCATTGTGCCCATTCTTTCCGTACCCATTTCCTTCGTGCAGAGGCCTGCTTCCGTCCCCCGCGGGGCCGCTAACGACAACGACGTCGACGACGACGGCGGCGCCGGCGGCGGCGGCGGCAACCACGGCGACGACGACAGCCCAGCGGGAGGAGAAGCCAATCTGAGGGGCAGGGGTGGAGAGCACCAGCAGGGCACAATCAAAAGCCGAAGACCTCTCGGGGGGGGATCTGATGGCGTCGTCGTCGTCGTCGACGACCCGCCGGGGCAATCCAGGGGTGCGTTTGACCAGAGTTTCAAGGTGGATCCACCCGCACGCACGCACGCACGCACGCACGCACGCACGCACGCACGCACGCACGCACGCACGCACGCACGCACGCACGCACGCACGCACGCACGCACGCACGCACGCACGCACACACACACACACACACACACACACACACACACACACACACACACACACACACACGCACGCACGCACGCACGCACGCACGCACGCACGCACGCACGCACGCACGCACGCACGCACGCACGCACGCACGCACGCACGCACGCACGCACGCACGCACACGCACACGCACACGCGCACGCGCACGCGCACGCGCACGCGCACGCGCACGCGCACGCGCACGCGCACGCGCACGCGCACGCACGCGCACGCGCACGCGCACGCGCACGCGCACGCGCACGCGCACGCACACGCGCACGCGCACGCACACGCACACGCACACGCACACGCACACGCACACGCACACGCACACGCACACGCACACGCACACGCACACGCACACGCACACGCACACGCACACGCACACGCACACGCACACACACACAAGCGCACGCACGCGCGCGAGCAACAACAACACATACCCAAAAAACACCTCGATCATCGGTGCTCGGATCAAGGGCCCAGGAAAACGATTTCGTCATTTTGACGATACGGAGTCCACGCTTGTCCACGGAGGTCCCGACAACTTCGACAGGCCCAAATTTTCGTCCTGGGTCGATGACTGACACTCCCAGGGACCGTCGACGGCCTCCGAGGCCCTCCGGAATCCGAGGCCCAGCACTCTTGGGGACCATCCGACGCAGATTTCCTCCCGGATCGATTCTCGACGGACCTGGGACCCCGAAACGGCCTCCAGAGACCTGACAGCCCCAAAATCCCCTCGAGTCTCGACCGTCGAATTACCTCGAATCTCAATCGACATATCTCCTCCAACCTTCGCCACGCCGCGCTGGTCACGCCCCCGCGGGCGACCCACAGCGCATGCCTACGATAGGAAATCCGTCGACCCCTTGAAGTGTCGTCGGCGTGTGCGATGGATCCAGCCAGCCACATACTCCGGGCCCGGGACGACCGCGCTATGAGGGGACAGAGGGCCCCCATTCCAGTCGGAACATCATAATTATTCGTCGCATGTTCGTCTCGTGGGCTCTTAGACCGTCCTAGACAGCCTCCGAGCCTCTCAAAGCCGTCCCAAAACAACCTAGGAAGCCCCCTAGCAGACTCAAGGTGCTGAAGAGGCCATCCAGCCACGTTGCCACGTTGCCACAAGCCCCGAAAGACATCCCACGGGACCCCATGACCCATCAGGGTGGCCTCGGACCCACGAACCAATCACGATGGCGGGATGGCCCGAACGCAACGTATCGAAGGTTAGGGGGGTCTGACCGCAAGTGCCCCCAACCAAGACATCGGTTTCGGTGTCGGCTCATGTCGTGCAGGGGGTTCTCCCGATGGTTGTCCGGATGGTTGTCCCGGTATTGCCCTACGAGACCCCAGGACCGTCGGAGATCGATCGGAGATGAAGAACTGCAACGGATGGACCACGGGAGCGGCCCTGGGCTGGACCCGTGAGGCCTCCAAGGGGCTTCCCCAAAGGACCCCAAGCACAAAGGGCCCAAAATATATGTTCAACAGGTTCGCCTTTTGACACCAGGAGGGCTGCAAGACGGCAAAGGACCACCAGGAGAGCTCCAAGACGGACAGAGAGACTCCCAGTCAGCCAGACGGAGAACTGGAACGGACACTTCGAACCTTCGGCTCCAAGACGCACCCAACGTGCGCCCCAGGGACCCCCAGGCAGCCACCCCAAAAAATTAGCCTGACAAAGGACCCAACCATGCGCAATTGCGAGTACCGCATTGTGGGCACCGGTTTCGGTGGAGCTCCTATGGGGCCACGAAACTTGTGAGGGGTGCGCCGAAATTGGTGGCGCGAACGCATGTGGACACCGCCACTGGGGCCTCCGGTGTAGCTCCCTATGGAGCCACGAAGCGCTGCCCTGGGCGAGGGAGACGCATGCGAACTGCGCCATTGGAACCTTCGGTGGAGCTCCCTATGGGGCCACGAAGCGCTGTCATGGGTGGGGGAGACGTATGCGAACTGCGTCTCTGGCGCCTTCGGTGGAGCTCCCTATGGGGCCACGAAGCGCTGTCCTGGGTAGGAGAGACGCATGCGAACACCCCGATTGAGGCCTTCGGTGGAGCTCCCTATGGGGCCACGAAACGCTGTCCTGGGCAAGGGAGACGCATGCGAACACCCCCACTGGGGCCTTCGGTGGAGCTCCCTATTGGGCCACGAAGCGCTGCCCTGGGTGGGGGAATCGCATGCGCCCACCCCCACTGGGGCCTTCGGTGGAGCTCCCGATGGGGCCACGAAACGCTGCCCTGGGTGAGGGAACCGCATGCGCCCACCCCCACTGGGGCCTTCGGTGGAGCTCCCTATGGGGCCACGAAGCGCTGCCCTGGGTGGGGGAACCCTGTGGGGCCACGAAACGCTGCCCTGGGTGGGGGAACCGCATGCGCCCAACCCCACTGGGACCTTCGGTGGAGCTCCCTATGGGGCCACGAAACGCTGCCCTGGGTGGGGGAACCGCATGCGCCCACCCCCACTGGGGCCTTCGGTGGAGCTCCCTACGGGGCTACGAAACGCTGCCCTGGGTGGGGGAACCGCATGCGCCCCCCCCCCACTGGGACCTTCGGTGGAGCTCCCTATGGGGCCACGAAGCGCTGCCCTGGGTGGGGGAACCGCATGCGCCCACCCCCACTGGGGCCTTCGGTGGAGCTCCCTACGGGGCTACGAAACGCTGCCCTGGGTGGGGGAACCGCATGCGCCCACCCCCACTGGGACCTTCGGTGAAGCTCCCTATGGGGCTACGAAACGTGTGAGAGGTGTGCCGAGAGCAGAGGCAAGGAGGGGGAGGAGGGATGAGGGGGAGGAGGGCGGGAAGGAAGGAAGGAAGGAAGGAAGGAAGGAAGGAAGGAAGGAAGGAGGAACGCGGGGCACCGTCTCTTCAAAACGAGGACCCAACACCACAGGATGGTTGGGGAAAAAGGGGTCGGCGGTGTGGCGTAAGCCTAAGAATAATAGGATTCCTCATAGTTTCCAATATTTGTTGGGTTTTTGTCTTCCCCCCACTTCCCAAACTTTCCCATATTTTCGATGGAATCGACGATGAATTGTGTCAGAGTGTTTTCATTCCCTCCTGAACTCCTTTCCTCTCCTCTCCTTTGGAAGCTTTCCTTGCAGGGCGCGCGGATCCCGTGGCCTCTTGGCGGCAGACCCCTTGGGCTTCGTCCGTGGCGCGGCGGCCATCTTCGACGTGGGCGGCTCCACGATCGCTCCGTGCTGGCCCCTGGGGAAGATCCAGTCCTGGGCACGTCCGAAGTGGGGACAACACCAATGGGGACGATTCCCAACAGTGCATGTTGTGGTCCGATACGATGAAGCCAAGAAGAGGGTTAAACCGAGCGACAATAAATCGAGAATCTCTGAGATCTGGCTGCTCTGGAAAATGTATCGGGCGCCGCGGCTTTCTCAGAGCGTCGCGGAACGCTCTGAGAACGTTTCGGAACGCTCTGGAACAGATTTATCGTCGTCTTGATTATCCCAGTCCGATCAGAGATCGACGACAGCTGATCTTGGACAGCCGACGTTCGCCTCTAATGCCTCGAGGCCGATGGCGGATCATGCCCGAAACGAGCAGTAGCTGCTGTCAGTCATCGTCCCATTCTGTTTTTGACCATTTCGGCCCTCTCGAAGTCCGATCCCAACGGGAAGTGCCACGCGACCGGCGCCGCGTGGCCCTGCGCGGGCGCGATGTACCTCAGCGGGGGGAAGAGCCGGACCTTGTGCAGCAGGTTGACGCCCTGGGCCCCGATCGCAGCGCGAGAAAGACATGTTATGTCTCCTCCTCCCTGATTTCCATATTTCCATCATGGGCGGCCGAATGTCTCCTCCTCCTCCTCCCTCCTCCTCCTCCTCCTCCTCCTCTTCCTCCTCCTCCCCCCCGCCTTCCCCTCATCGTCCCTCTCCTCGCCCCCCCTGCTCCTGCCACTGCCAAGAACAGACACGCACACACCCCGCCCCCGCTGATCAGCACGGGCTCCAAAACGACTGCATGCAGGACGCGACGACCCAGCAGCCAGCTGTGAACACCTGACGGCGCCCTGCTCCACCTAGGCCGCTTCCGCGGCCCAGACCTCGGCTGCGCCGCCCCCCGCCTCAGTGCCCGTGCCGTCCAGAGCCTGGAGCTGGCGGGCCGTGCGCAGCGCAAGTGGCCCATCAGGGTGCTGGCTCCTGCCAGGGCGGCCTCGTCGCCCAGGAGGACCTCTTCCCCGCGGGCCAGCTGGCGCAGCAGGGCAGCCATGGCTCGCGTCGGCGGCCTCTCTCCAGCGCCTGGGGCACCATGCCCCACAGGGTCCGCCCCGAGGGGTGGCGGTGGCGTTTGTCTGCCTCCGCTGCAGCGTTGACCGCGCCGTTGCGCCCGCCGCAGCGACAAGCCCGTCGGCGCCCCCTAAGCGCGCACCGTGACATCGCAACGCAGTCGTTGGGGCAGTCCGCGCGCTGCACCTCGACGTCGAAGATGGCTCCGTTTCCTTTCGACTGCAGCCCGGCCAAGCAGGCGGCGCAGGGGCCCGCCTGTCGGGCAGCCGCCACTCCAGCTGGCGCCGCATCCCCGGCATGTCCAGCGCCAGCGGAGCCCATGCCGGGACGTGGACCTGGCGCTCCACGCGCTGGCCGCACTCCGCGCGGGTACGGGCTCGAGCGCGCTCCAAGCCGCCGCTGCGCTCCTTGGCTCCGCCCCCGCGGCTGCCCCGCAGCGCTGGCCAGCCTCGTCGACAGCTCGCGCCGTGCTGTACGGGTGGCCTCGGCCTGGCCCAGGAGCGCTCACGCAAGGCTACTGCAGTCCGTGTCGACGGACCGCTGCGCATCCGCGCCCCGCGAAGCGGCCTGCCGAGCGCCCATGCGCGGCCCGCCGCAGGAGAGGCCGAGCGCTCTCCTCCGAGCGGGCCGCCTGCTCCTCCTGCCCTCCTCCACCTCTCGCCTCCTCGCCCCCATCCCTTCTCACCTCCTCGTCCTCGTCCTTCTCCTCGTCCTCCCTCTCCTTATCCCATCTTCTCCCTCTCTTCTTACTCTTCCTCCTCCTCCTCCTCCTCCTCCTTCACGTTCTGCTCGTCCGTCCCCCTCTTCCTCCACCTTCTCATCTTGCCCTTTTCCCCGACCCCGTGCACAAGTGGGGCCGTACCTGGCAATGCACTACAGTGTATCCCGTCCTCTGGTCCCTTCAGTCCTCGCACTATGTCCATCCACCCCCTCGCCCTCATTCCATCTCACAATTCATGCTCTTTCTTGGCACTGCACGGGGATCATCATCACCCTGCGCGGTCGAACTGCCGTGGCTGGTCTCTTCGCCAATCAAATATTTCCAAGCTTTCTTCCTGGGCGTCCAACGGAATGTGGCCTGCTAGAACCAACTGAGATGCTAGGGCTCCCAACTTCGCGCTTCGCGCTGCGCGAAGCGCGAATAACTTCGCGCTCTCGCGCCGCCCTCCCAGAAGGAGAATAGGAGGACGAGGAGGAGGGGGAGAAGGAACGAGGACCGCGAAGCGCGAATAACTTCGCGCCCTCGAGGGAGCCCTTGGAGATGACTAGAAGCCTCCTATCTTGGATCCGAAGGGATGGGGTCGGAGGATCGCGCCCCATCGCCGATGCATCGCCGATGCATCGGCGGTGTCGGCGATGCATTCGTACCGTCGGCGTGGCGAAAGTCGGGCTCCGTTTCGAGCTGCATCGCCGATGCATTGGCGATGCGGCGCAATCCTTCAACCCCATTCACTCCGACCCCATGTAGGAGGCCTAGAATCTGGGAGGCCCAGAACGGCGCCCCCCACCCCTGGTGCTGTGCGCTCTGGGCCGTGCAGCCGTCGCCACTCTCCTGCCCCCCCGGGAGGTCCAACGGAGTGCGGTCGGACACGTGGGACCTCGTTCCCCATGTGCTGCCTGCCAGCCCTCCGGGCCGTTGCTACTCTCCTGCGCCTCCAGCGTCCAGGGTCCAGAAGGTCGTGTGCCACGGTGTTCCCCGGATAACTCGTAGAGAGCTAAGAGGGCTTCAGCTTAGAAGCCGGCAGACAGGGCTAGGCCGGCTTCCTCTCCAAGCTTCCGCGGGCAGGCATCCTTGCAGCGCCCCCTGTGAAATTGCAGCGTGTCTCGACAGCGTTGCCCTCCTCATTCCCAATACGTTTCCGGGAAGCTGTTCCGCAACTACTTCGAAGCTCTTCCTGGACTCCTGCGAAGCTCTCTTTCTCCTGGATAGCTCTCTGAGGGCTAAAAGGGCTTCATTTTAGAAGCCGGCAACGAAAGGTAGCCTGGGAGCTTTGTCCGGCGCCGGTCAAACATCGTCGCAGCAACTTGCTTGAACTTGCAGCGGGCCCCAGACGCGTTTCCATACTCGTTCCCAATACGTTTCGGGGAAGCCTGTCCGAAGCTCCTTCGAAGCTCCTTGGGGGCTCCTGCGAAGCTCCTTTCTCGAGCTTGCATGCTCTACTGACATTATTTCAAGCGTCCGTCCTTGCAAACGTCTCCCAGAAGCGTTTCACGCGCTTCGGACGGCCCCGCGATCCGGGTTTTGGACGCCACAAGCGGTGCTCGGACACGCCGTTCTCCCTGAAGGAATCGTGGGGGGTGATCCCTCGCTCAGCCAGTCTTGATGAGACACATACTGGGATGGTGGTCGCTCCCAAAGCGACCCAATGACGATCCAAGAAGGCCCCCAGACCGTCCCAAGACCCGCCCAGACTGCTAACAAATGATTCTACCAAGCGTCTTCGACAGAACCTTCACGATAAAGACGGCCTCCAGATCCAATGAAGCCCCTAAGAACCCCCAAGAAACCCGTTGGTTACGAGGCCCCGAAGACGGCCCCCAGACCCCCCAAAGACCGCCCCTACAACGCCCTTGAGAGGCCCTTACGAAGCCCCGACGGGGCTGTTTGGAATACGCGACGCCTCAGAGATTTCAACGCTGCGCGCAACTCCGACTAACTAATCAATGAGCGGTCAACGATGCCCCGCTGGAGTCCGAGACATGTGTAGCCGCGTCCAGTGGTGTAATCTGCGTCTCCCACATCATGATGCATCGCTGCCCCATCCCGCCTCGAGCTCGCCAGGCTTCAATAGCCTTTCAGGCACAGCCTCGGCACCGTTGAGAACGTCTGCCTCCCAAGCCTTGCCATTTCTGGCGAGCAACAAATCTTAAATCTGGTGGGGCATTGTCTGAATTCGCGTTTCGCGTCGCGCCCAAGGTCAGCAAGCCACCGAATGGAAGAAGGGTGCTGGGTTGATGGGACTACACTGCGATATCAATATTGACGGGACTATACCTCGCAACCATTGCAAATATGGCGCGACCGAAGCTGGTCACAGGAGCTCTACGCATTATACTGATCCACTGGCCAAACTTGACAATCCTCGGGCTGAGGAAACACATGATACCTTCTGGTGATGCTAATATTTATCTCTTGAGACGGGAATTGTACTTACTATAGATCTGTGTTGTATCCGCCATCGTGCCTGTGCGATAGCGGAGTGACACCTTATTAAGGCTTATGGGATTCATCGAAAACTTATACCCCAAACCTCTCGTTGAACATATAGATCAACAAAAAAGCCGGTCCCTACAACAGCTCCCAACACCTTTTTCGGCTCCTGCACGGCACCATTACGGCCAACGGACACCCCCAAACGGTTGCACAACTGCCTCATACAAGCCGAACACGGCCCAGAGATCCCCCCTCTACGATCTCCCGAGGATGCTCCACCAAGAAATCCCAATCCATACGCATATGCTCCCAGTCAGGGGGGGCTCCAGCGATGCCCGAAGAGGCCAGGACCAATGAAAAAACATTCGGATGTGAATGCTTTTTGTTTCCGAGGATTCCTGGCTTCAGATTGCCTCGAATAACATTCAGAGGGGCTTCGGAAGCCCCTAAGACGGCCCAAATCAACCATCGGGGATGGACAGACCCCCCTTTTGCAAAACGTGGTTTAGTGAAAACGACCTGAGGCCCAAACCTGGCGGGCGCAAGCCTGGAAAATAACAGCCGCGGCGCCCTCTCGAGAACCGAAAACGGACAATTCACTAATCGACGTGTCACTGTTGGGGGTTCTGTCCACCCCCGAAACCATATAACCCCTGAAAACGGCCTGGAAGAACTCCGAAACGGCCCAAATATGGCACAGCCGGGCTTCTTCGGGAGAGCCGTGTCATCATCGCAGCCAGAGCGGCTCCGAGAGGCCCCCGGCGCCCTCCCACGGCCACCCCGCAGGCCTCCGAGAGGGCCCGAAGAAGCCCTTGCGGTGAAGGAAGATAGCAGCACGGGGCTGCGGACAGAAAGGGATACACCCCGCGAAATGCTTAAGAAATCATGGGTTAAGAAATTCATGGTCTCAGAACTTGAACAAAAACCCAACATTTCTATCAAAATCTTAGGATTTACATTGAAACGGTAAGAATAATCGAGACTCTGGCCGAAAACTTAGGTTTTCTTAAGCATCGCCTAAGGTGTATTCTAAGTCCCTCGCCAGTTCAGACGACGCGCTGACCTGGAACAAGCCTTCAAACCATCATGCCCCCGGCAAGCATCAGGCTGTATCCTGAGGAGGTCTGTGTCACAGGTGCATTTCGCAAAGGGCACCGGTGGACATATACATGAAGCAGCCTTCCTATTATTGAGCTATACACCATCTCAGCGAAATCACAACTCGATACAGCAACACATCAGCCAGCCCGTCCACTCCAAATTATAATTGTGAGGCGGCCGCTTGGAAATGTCGTCCCCGCCCTCTTCCCCCATTGCCTGCCTCTTCCAGTACTCTTTCCAGGCTCTGGCCCTCTCCATTTCTAGCTTCCCGCCTCCTCCTCTCTTCCCTCTCCCTCCCTCCTCTCCCTTCCCCTTCCTGTTGCTGCCATCCTTCCTTACCCCTTCGCCCCTCACTGCCCTCTCGATCCTTACTATCACCTTCTCTCCCCGCGTTCCCCCCCTCTTTCCTTCGCCATTCATTCGAGTTGCAGCTGGGCCAAGACACGAACGACCAAGCGCCCAAGATTGGTCACGGCTGGCCAACAATCGAATCCGCCGGCCCCCTTGCGGGGCCATCAGGCTGCGAAGATTAGGCTTGCAGCTCCCTGAACCAGTTGCAGTTTTCAGTTTCCACTGTTGCAATCCTGCTCTCTGCTTCCTTACTGTTAATTGTTGCTGAGCGCGCGAGGGGGGGAGCCGAAAAGCGTCCTGGTTGACGTCCCCGAATCGCGTTGTCTGAATTCCTGGGGGGTCGTGGGACACGTAAAAAAAATGATGCTCACGTCCCCGAGGCCGTAATCCCCCCGAGGCCGTAATCCCTAGTAAATCATACCGAATTCGCGCCCCCGAAGCCATAAACCCTTGTAAATTACAATGCTTGCGTCCCCGAAGCCCTAATCAACCGTAATTTATAGCATATTCGCGTCCCCGAAATCATAAACCGTCGTACATTACATAAGATTCTCGCGCCCGAAGCCATAAGCCATCGTAAATTACTAAATATTCGCGCCCCCGAGGCAATACACTTTCGAAAATTATATGATCTTCGCGTCACCAGGGCCATAAACCATCATACATTACACCATGCTTGCGTCCCCGAGGCCACAAACCCTCGCAAATGAAACCATACTCGCGTCCCCGAGGCCATGAATCCAGGAAAAATACTCAATATCTGCGCCCCCGAAGCCATACGCCACAATTAATTACTCAATCTTTGCGTCCCCGAGGCCACAACCCCCGGTCAATTATGCGATACTCGCGTCCCCGACCATCGTACATTACCTAATATTCGCGCCACCGAAGCCATGAACCCTTGTAAATTAATAATGGCCCTCGCGTGAAGTCCCGACATTGCTTCACGTCAGCGTCCAGACATTCCAACACAACTCTGGCAAGTCCCAGTCTAAGAAAGGGTGGCTGGCGGCATGGGGGCGAAGCCCTTATATACGGACTTCGGGAAACCATGTCAGAAAACGGCGGTGACTCATCGGAGGTTTCTCCAATACGGTATGACTGCTCTCTCTGCTATCCTTACTTGTTCCTACTCCCTCCCCCTTCTCTCGATATATTTTCACTTTCTATCATGTCGATGTTCTCTCTTATCACCCCTCTGCTCTTTATCTCGGGAATCCAAAAACCCAACCGCCCACCGGCATCCGGGGATCAAAGATCCGGCCGCCCACCGAAATCTGTCACACTTCAACAACATCTTTACTTTACCAGTTCGTCCAGAAACCTGGCCGAACACGAAAGCAAACACATCTTCGCAATTTCTTACCAATGCCTGCAACAGAAAACCCGGTACTGGACATTATGGAGCCCGGCCGCCCACCTAAATCGGTCCGACAATTCCGCCACATCCTCACCTCTTCAGCGTGGACCACGTGAGTGCAAGCACTGATTTAGGGGGCATAGAGATACAAATGGGGAAATATGATGGAGCAATCTCTCTGTCAATTCAACGGATCACATATACTTTGCAACCCCAGCTCCAAAATGCACAACTCCAGGAACGCCAATTCTCTGAACGATTCGCTTAAATCCACCAGCCAACTCTGTCATGCGGCCCTTCCTGAACATGTGCTACACATGCAAATCAAACCCGCTTTGAGCATGTCAATATTAACTGAATCACCCCGCCCACCTCCGCTTCTTCTCTCAAATAACGCTCCTCGCCATCTGGCGAAACATATTTTAAAGTGTAGCGGGATACATGTCGATCCAACCACAACCTCAAAGGCCTCGACTGGTCAGCCTTCCGCTTGTGATCTCTTAAGAAGTCGTTTGTAACAAGCTGAACGTCTGGAACTCCTCCCACACACTCGAATTCCTTCCCGATCCTCTATGCATTGTAGCCCCATATCGGGCAATATTTCTATTCTTGCGAACGACATTTTCTCAACCACGCTGAATAACATCATCATACCACTCCCTGCTCACGGGCTACACGCACTTGTCCTGCAACCTTGCAGCTCAAGTGGGGAAGGGCACGGAAAGGCTGACTGCAACGTTCGACAAAGTTTGGCCTACTACTGTCGAAACAAGCCTCCCTCATCACAAACATCCCCTCAATCAAGGATGCCCATCCTAACACGCTACGGACTTCAACCCCTGCGAATGCGACGACGCTGCAAGCGAATAGTGATGCAACGGAACATATACGATTTCACACGTTGATTATCATGAGCAACGCGACTCGTCTCACTTCCAAAAACTGGGCGAACACCACGCGCCGATTCTAACACGCGACAGTCCCGTGTTTGCCTGGGATATCTTACATACTCTATATAAGATTGCGCCGCTGCGTCAAGAGATTATCGCAAGCGTTTAACAGGTCGGACTCCGAACACCGTGCAATTCGCACATACTTTCCCGTTGACGAATAAAGCATTGACACACCCCTTGAAACATATCTAGGATGGAAGGTCCACATGAATCTTCGAAGGGTAAATCGCAACGCATGCTGCGCAAATTCGAAACCTGTGCCGGCCATGACCAATTGCAACTACTACTATTTCATGCCTCGGTTCAAGAGCCCCGCATGTGCATCCGCTCCCAATCAGACCCCCTCCTCTTCTGCACATAACAACCGCGATTAACATAGCAACGTTGTCGTCGTTGATGCCTGCCCTGCATGGCAAACAAACACAACACATCCAGCCATACACGCAACACGCTTTATCACAACCCTACTGGTCCAAAACACCGCTCCCAACAACACGAGTCAAGAACGAGACGCACACGTACTGCGTTGAAGCGTCAGCCCGCTCACGCACGACACAACGGTGCACGAATGCTGCAAGAAAGATGGTTCAATAAAAAGAACGCATCACACGCAAAACCGATAACGCGCCATACTTGCCGTGCTACTCTAGGCGTCAAGCCCGTGACCGAGCTTGATTAGCCTCTTCAGCAAAAAACAAATAGTGGTGACGCAAGATCAGAATGACCAACCAAACCATGAGAAATTACCAACGCTGGCGCAGGGCAACGCATGGTACCGACTACTGCATCTGAAAATCAAAGGGCCATCTCCCATCCGCCGCCGTACTCCCCGCCACCTCTTGGTGCAACCATAATCTGTCCATTCTCTCGCCATCGTTTTGCTAGCTCGACCTGCGAGTGCAGTGGGAACACGGACCAACTATACAACTACATTACCGTGGCGGTGGAGATGATAGAGCAAACCCAGCTTTCGAGAGGGACAAGGCGACGATAGAGCAGGGTCACGCCAGGAACGCACAGCAACTGCATGACATATCGAAGGTACTTCAAGATGAATGACAATCACAACTCAATGCTGACACGCGATCTCTACACCGCTTGTGCTTCTATCTCGCTCTATCGCGTGTTCTCTCTCTCTCTCTCTCTTTCTCTCCATCCCTCTCCCTCACACTTTTCCCGCACACCAGCTCACGCAGGGCCGTCCAGACATATGACGACGCGCAATAATACCATTTATACGTGATGCGCGTCGAACGGATTGACAGACTTGCTCGCCAGATCAACACTGAGTCCAGGCAGCGGTCCACGACAACGAGGGTCGCTAGTACATGTCAGCGGGTGACACATTCCTTGGTGCTGGGCCTTCTGTGTTGTTTCTCCGGCATGCAAATGAACATGTATCAAACGTCTCACCAACGCAATGCCATATTGCTCACACGGTTCGGTTAAGCGCAAGAAAGCAGTTACCAGACGCCCGAATAGTTCAGCAGCGCCCAGCGGTGGGATGAGCCAAAATCGTTCATTTTATGCACGCGCGGGAAGCTGAGGGGGGTGGGGGGGCGGGACTGGGGGAACAGCAGGCTGATCCCCACGACAATGATCGCACTGATCGGCTTTCCAGAGCTGGTCCTGTTCATCGCGCTGTGTCTGGTGACTGTTCAATTCAATCCCTATGCCTTATTTCCTATGTATCCTTGTGGCTTCCCACCCAAATGTCCCTTCACCTCTCGCTCGCTTCCCGCGTAGTGACGGAACATGAGACTTGGACGCGATTCGCTCACAAACGAGGCTCCCGCTTGAGACTTCCTCCGCATTCAAGCCTGTGGAGCCCACTTATGACGACAATTACACGTATTAGGATGGCCCGCTCGGATTACCAACATGAAGTGCGGGACCCATAGGAAGGGGGCTCCCGCCTGAGACTTCCTCGTAATCTGCTTACAGACGAGGCTCCCGCTCGAGACATCCTCAAGATGAGTGTGTGTGTGTTGTGTGTGTGCGTGTGTGTGTGTGTGTGTGTGTGTGTGTGGGAGCACGAGTGGTCAAGCGAGTGCGTGTGAGACGGTGCTGGTGGTGATGATGGGGATGGTCATGGTGTGCTGGTGGGTGAGTGAATGATGGGTGAACGGAACGGAAAGGAAGTCTGCGTGCCAGCTCCGGTAACCGGAGCGGCAGACCGTGCGCTGAGCATGTCGGAAAATGAATGTCGGCAACGAGCACACGCAGGAAAATGCGATTAATAATTCCCCTGGTGTGCAGGTTTTCAGTCAGAGAACCTTCGCTGGCTAAGAAGAGCGAGAGGAGGAGGAGGAGGAGGAGGAGGAGGAGGAGGAGGAGGAGGAGGAGGAGGAGGAGAGGAGGAGGAGGAGGAGAGGAGGAGAGGAGAGGAGAGGAGAGAGAGGAGAGGAGAGGGGGGCAACTAGCAGCGCGCCGCGGGCACGTCTACATTCAGTGTATCAGAGAAATCAGTCTTATCATGTACGGAACGCGTCACCCCATCTCAAGCTGGGTCTGCCGACAGAGCGTTTGGCTACAGTTCTGAACCAAGGCGTCCAATCTAACAGTCTTTTGTTCCATTTCTCTTCGGTGTCCATTTCTCTTTTGTTCCCATTTGAGTGATGGGTGAAGCTGGGTGAATGAGTGAATGATGTGAGTGTGTAAGTGAGCGCGCGAATGTTGGCGATGATGCTGATGCTGATGATGATGCTGCTGATGATGATGACAATGCCGGTGATGTGTGGGAGTGTGGGGGGAGAGGGGGTGAGGGGTGAGACTGCGCTGGGTGTCCAGAGATAACAAAAACCCCACTCAGGATGTGGGAAACAAGAACCCCACTTTGGACGCGGGGAATGATGATGATGCAGATGAGACAACGATGATGATTATGATGCTGATGCTCATGATGTTGTTGTTGTTGGTGTTGATGATGCTGCTGATGATGATGATGCTGATGCTGATGGTGATGATGGTGCTGATGATGATGGTGATGATGGTGATGATGGTGATGATGGTAGTGGTGATGGTAATAGTGATGATGATGATGATGATGATGATGATGATGATGATGATGATGATGATGATGATGATGATGATGATGATGTAGGTGTGTTCCTGTTCCTGCGCGGGGCGTCTAGAGAATACAAAAAAAGCACTTAGGATGCGGGAGCAACTAATCCGGTGACACGATCCCACAGCCAACACATCAAATGTGTTCGGGATCCGAGACGGGGGGTGGGGGGAAGGAGGGTCAAACTCATGCCGAGCTCCCGCGCTTCGGATCGTGAAAACCCTTCATTCCCGTGTTTTGTAGTAAAACATGTTTTGTCATCGTGTTACAGGTTTCGTGGCCCAACATGAAGTGAACCTGTGACTGCCATTGAACGACCAGTCCCTTCTCGGTCTGCCCTCCCCACACCTCCCGCCTCGGATGCCGAAAACCTTTGATTGCTGTTTCTTGCTAGTTCCCCACATCCAAAGTGGGTTTCTTGTTTTCTCTGCACACCTCCCGCGCAGGCTCTGTCCCCCCCCGTCTCTTCCTCGTAATCATCACACACTCTCACGCACTCACACTCACACACTCACTCCCCCTCTCCGCCTCGCTCATTCACTTCATCGTCATCACACACACACACACACCCACGCACACCCACACCCACTCACTCACACACTCACACCCACCATCATGACCACCAACATCATCACTCGATCACTCACCCACTCTTCATCATCACCATCATCCTCATCATCACCATCATCCACTCACTCACCATTATCATCACTCACTCACTCATCACTTCGTCGCTCACTCCCTAACTTGAATACGGAAGCGGGAGTTTCGTGTGTGAGTGAATTATGAGGAAGTTTCAGGCGGGAGCCCCCTCCTCATGGGTCCCGCACCTCATGTGGGTAATTCGAGCGGTCATCCTCAACGCTGTAACCGTCGTTACTTTTGGGCTCCTGGGGCCTGAATACGGAGGAAATATCAACCGGGAGCTTCGTTTGTGAGTGAATTTTGAGGAAGTCTCAGGCGGGACCCCCCTCCCTATGGGTCCCGCACTTGTGTTGGCAATCCGAGCAGGTCATCCTCAACCAAATAACAGTCGTCATTTTTGGGCTCCCGGGGCTTCAACGTGGAGGAAGTATCCGGCGACGGCCTCTTTTGTGAGTGAATTGTGAGGAAGTCTCAGGCGGGTGCCCCTTCCCTATGGGTCCCGCATTTCGCGTTGGTAATCCGAGCGGACATCCTCAACACTATAACGGTCGTCGCTTTTGGGCCCATCAGGCCTGCATTTGGAAGAAATCTCAGGCGGGAGCCTCGTTTGTTAATGAATTGCGGGGAAGTCTCAGGCGGGAGCCCCTTCCTTATGGGGCACGCGCTTCGTGTTGGTAATCCGAGCGCGGTCATGCGAATTCTGGATGCAAGGAGTCTCGAGCAAGGGCCTCCCGCCTGAGCGCCGCGGCGCGCAGCTAGAGGCCCGCGGGGTTGTCCCACAACGGTCTGGCCCGCGGGGTTGTCCCGACGGCCTGCCCCCGCGCCCCAGCGGCCCGTGGGGTTGTCCAAAAGGCATGACCCGCGGGGCTGTCCCAGAAGCTTCGCGAACCAGCCGACGGCGAACAAGCGCGCGCTGGCCGAGGCGGCGACGGCGCCGAGGAAACTCGATTTGCTTGCCCCGACCAGGGGAAGTGGGGGAGCACGTGGATAAGAAGCTGGGGAAGGATGAAGACGGGGAAGGGGTAGGGAGAGGGTGATGATGAGGAGGTGGAGGAGGAGGAGAAATAATAGGAGGAGGAGGAGGAGGAGGAGAAATAGGAGGAGGAGGAGGAGGAGGAGGAGGAGGAGGAGGAGGAGGAGAGGGCAGAACAGACGGCGAGAGGAGGGTATCCGCCAGGGCGGGGAGGGAAGGGCTAAGGGCAAGCTAAACATATGCTCATGTGGGGTCCTTCCGTCGGAATCATTTTTTCGGGTAGTGTGCTTCGCGGCCCAAAATTAAGGAAACCTGTGACTGTCATTGACAGACCAATCAAGTCCAACGGGAAATAAAGTATCCTTGCAACTCTTTCCATAAAAAAAGCTTCGCGCGAAAGAAATTCCCCCCTCCTCCACCCCTGTCTCTCGCTCTCTTTCTCTCTCTCTCTCTCTCTCACTCTCTCTATATATATATATATATATATGTCTCTTTTCTTGAAGCCATGGGATTCAATAGGAATCGGTAGGAATCAATGGGACCAATCAGAACCAATAGGAATCCACAAGAGTAAATCGGAATCACTGGGGCCGCGCGAGCAGCAGGAGTGACAGAACCTGGCGGGGCGGGGGGGAAGGGGGGTCGGGGGCGCGCAAACATGGATTAGCGATCCATGGATTTGGCGCGCGGTCGCCGAATCCATGGAACGGGGGAGGTGCCCTCCCCAAAATGCGGCCGGTGCCGCCTCGCTCGGCGGCGGAAATCTGCGATTTCCCACGGAAACGGGGCCCGTCGCTAATCCACGCCCCCTTGATCCATGCTTGCGATCGCCTGAGGGGGAGGATCGGCGGCGAGCGGGGGGGGGGGAAGGCGAGAGGGGGCGGGGCCTTCTCGGAAGGCTCGGGAGCCTTCCACGCAGACACGAGAGAGCTTCTCGGAAGGCCCGAGGGCTTCGGAGAAGCCCCGTCGCCGTCGGAGAGGGCCTTCTCCTTCTCTCTGCCCCCCCTCCCTCGCTCGTCGCCGAGAGGAGGGCTCAGGCCCCCTCGGGTCATAAACAAAGCACGACCGAAACAGTTCCTGTATTTCGGCTTCTGGGGGCCCTTGCCAGGCCTCGGGACCGTCAACAGAACGACCAGAGATGAGAACCCATCCTGGGGAATGGGTCGAGACCTCTGGGGGACGACGTTATGGAAAACCTCATGACGGCGGGATCTGGGGAGGGGGGACAACTACCAACAAGCAGGTTCCAGCTGAGGAGCCGGAAGCAAGAGCGGGACGGGGCGGCAGAGGAGGTGAAGACGAGGAGGCGGCGGAGGCGGGACGGGGGGGCCACCCTGAGCAGCGGCCCCGAACAGGAGCGGCTGCACGCAGGAACGAGCCTGGGCAAGATCGACCCTTGGTTGCGCGGACTCCCGGGGGGAGGGGGCGCGGATGGGTCAAGCCCAAGCGCGCAGGCCGCTGCTGTCACATCGCATGCAACGATCGGGGAACTCCAGTGGGCCCGCTCCTGAGTCACTCCAGCGAAGGGTCGCTCCCACGCGCAGCCGACGATAGTGGGCAGGCACATCGTGGGCCCAGGATCGGTGCTGGTGTACAGTGAGCGTCCCCCGAGAGGAAGGGATGCAGGGAAGGGGAGACAGAAGAGGGGACCGAGGCGGGAGGAATGGGTCGCCCGCCAGAACACATGAGCAACGAGAAGTGAAGACACGTGTCTTCTGCGAGATGGCGTAGCGATCTTACGCGATGATTGATGTGGGCCGCCAGCGCGGCATGCTGCACTGGAAATGACGGCGCTCACGCGCGACGTTCCGCGGGCAGCTCACGCGCGGATGTCGGCGCAATCGGCCTCGTTTTCTTTTCCTCGCTCACGTGTATCCGCCAAGATGGGCGGGGGCAGTGCGCGCAGCAAAGTGCCAGCCTCCGTCCGCTGATCCACCGGGATGTAATTGGAGGCGTCCGTGGCGGCAGCAGGCGCCTCTGCCTCGGGGGAGCAAGGAGAACGAGACGGAGGAGGAGTAAGAATAGGACGACGACGACGTCGTCCTCATCCTCCTCCCCCTCCCCTTTCTCTTCGCCCCCCTGCCCTTCCCCTCCCCCCTCTCCGAGCCCCGGAAGGGGGTGGAATGAAAGGCCCAACAACTTCCCAAGCCCTGAAATCTCGCCCACCACCCAGGAAAGGGCAGGAGGCGGTAGGGGAGGGATGATTTCCAGTGCGCGCCACGGTAAGGGCGATCAACACATTCCAAGATGGCTTCATCGAATGGGTCCCACACCATGAGCCCGCGTGGGCCAGCGCGAGAAATGCGCTGGATATGAGTAAAGACCATGCTATTGCAACATGGTCGTGATGAAGAAGAGGAGGAATCATAATACGAATACGCCTCAATATCTGAAGGGCTTCCGCGCGATGTTCATCATCAACGCACGGACGGCAGCCTGACGCCAGACGCGCCTGGCGGCAAAATACCCCAGACCGCGCAACGACAATCCTCGCCGCACAACACAGCGAGACATACGACTTCGACGCTGTCTCTTGAGATCCGATCGTGTCAGCTGTCAGCCACGATCTGGGCGAAGTCTGCCGCCGGAGCAGCAAGAAGCCTGTCGCCATTGTGCCCCCGACCAGACCGCCCCGTACCTCCAATCGGCCGAGGCGGTGCGACAATTAGGAAAAAAACGTGCGGCGTGATCACCGTGAACTTGGACCATGACGACGAGCATCTTGCCCCATTGAAGGGAAATTGGGACACACAAATAAATACACACAAATACAAATATTCCCCATATTTTCCCATATTTTCTGTGTTTTTGTCTTCCCCCCCACTTCCCATATTTTCCCATATTTTCCTGGGGATCGAGGATTAATTGTGTCTGTGTGTTTTTTCCCCTCCTGATCCAAGGCGTCCTTTTTCGGACGGAGCGCGCGCGGCGCTCGGCCATCCAAGGTCGGAACAAAAGCCCATCTTGGCCCTCGAAACTGCCGGGAGGCACCAGGCTCTCCCGGCGCCGTGCTCGGCCCGGATCCGCCGATCCCTGTGGTGTCGCAGGGCGCGTGAGACAACATCCACTCCTGCTGTGCCTACGCCCGCCAGGCCCCCTGGGCGCATTTGGGTAGTCTATATATGTATACGGTATATGTATTCATTTATGTAAAGCCCCTCCTTCCCGTCTGGGAAGGGGTTGCACTCGGCTCCTTATCACATACCCTCTCCCCCACTTGAGCGTCCACCGACACGAAAAACGTTCGCCCCCACCACCCATGTGAATAAAAAACAGCGCAAAGTGCAAGTTGCGACCTACGTTGGACCACGCGCGGGCACGCCATCAGAATTCCAAACTGCTTTGTCAAGAACGGTCGGTGTGGGAGGAGATCTTCCACTGCGCGCTGGCCCCACAATTCTTGTCAACAGCACATGCGAAACATCGGGCGTACACACCATGCACAATGCCAACCACATTGCCGTTGCCGGGCATTGGCTTTGACAAAGGCCGCGGAGGCGTCGACATATTGCCCGACGTGTGCCCTTACGTGCAGTCGCGCACCTGGCGCGTTCCCCGCGCGTAGTTGCAACACTTGGCGCACCTAGCGCATCTGGCACAACAGGCGCACTTGGACACCTGGTGCATCTGGTGTGCGTGGCGCACCTGGCACACACACGTGGCGCACCTCGTCAGCGGGTCGCACATGGCGTCTGTATTGGTTCCCATCAGGTGGCGACCACCGCCACTCTTGAGTCTTGGGTGCTGCTTATGTGTTGGGTGGACGGGTGGGAGTGAGCGAGACAGCTTGCGGCGCTCGTGTTCGGAACTGGGCCTGGACCCCCGACCCCCCCGCGACTGGTCAGGGCGCCCAAACTGGCATCCAAGATGGCGTAAGGCTTGCCTCCAACATGCTTCCAAGAACGCCCAGTCCGCCACAAGGCAGCTGGAAGTGGTCACAAGACATCAGGGGGCTCGCAATCAGATCGCCGAGAGGCCAAACCATTCAAAACATTTTGTTCAATTGATTTTGAATTGTCGACTGGTGGCTCCCGACTGGCTTCTAACACTACGCCCCCCGAGAACCACATGGTGAGGATAATGAAATTCGGGGTTCTGGATGGATGATAACCTTTTCCTGGCAACTCGGAATATCAACGAAGGGAATTACATAACAAGAACCTTCTGTGGAGCTCCCTATGGGGCCACGATCCGTGTGAGCTGTGTGCCCACAACTGGGGGCCCATGAAAGATACGGAGGCTGATGGTAATGCGGATAATGATGATGCTGATGCTGATGCTGCTAGGGATGATGATGATGGTGACGACGATGACGATGACGATGTCGAAAACGATGATGAGGATGGTCTGATGATATTGTTGATGATGATGATGATGATGATGATGATGATGATGATGATGATGATGATGTTGGCAATGGCTGTGAAAATGACAATGATGATACGGATAAACACGATGATGAGTATGATGATGAACATGATAATGATAATGCTGATGCTGATGCTGATGATGCTGATGCTGCTGCTGATGATGCTGATGATCGCGATGATGATGATGATGATGATGATGATGATGATGATGATGATGATGGTGATGAGACTGCTACTCATGGCAATCATATTCAATACACGATTTGCGTTTTCCCCCATGATGATGATGATGATGATGTCCGCCGCTCCCCACCGCCGACCAAAACTGCTTCGGCCGGAGATAATCATGAGGTTGGTGGAAGGGCGGGTTTGCTTTATTATCGGGGGCGTGCGGTTAGACTTATTTGACATTAATGTGATCAGAAAATCCTCCACGAAGGGTCTGGAGAAGGTCAAAGGGGGTCCCAAAGGCCCCCAAGAGCACTCCACGAGCGCCTCAAAATGATTCTAAGGGATTGCATTTCTAACTCCATTGGAGCAACACTAACTGAGGAATCCCCATTTTAATAATAAATAGCCTGCGGAATGGCTCCAAGAGGACCCGAAATGCTGCCCAGAGGGCCTCAAGGGAGCTTCAGGAGGGCTCCAAAAGATCCCACAGGGCCCCTAAGAGAGCTGCAATACTTCATTGGATGCCTCCAAGGAGGGCAGCTCGTCTGCAACTCGTTCTTGGACGGGCTGGTGGGTACGAGCGAAGCGCCAAGATTTGCAATCTTGAGAGCAAGGGCGGGGAGAGGGTGAAGGGAGTCCTCACCTGGGGGTCCACGCGGTCATGCTTCCCAGCGCCTTCCCCTGGACGGCCCAAAGGCAGTCCAAGCGAGCCCCGCTAAACCGCCAGGATGCCCCAAAGGTACCAAGCTTGGCCCAAGAATCCCTGCGTGAGAGGCAATCAAATGGCACCAACAAAAGCCCCAAAAAAGGACATCTCAGACTGGAATGCTTCGTTTTCTTTCCATGCACTTCGGCTGACCATAGCTTCCAGACGGCCGTTGAGGGCCGCAGGACGGCCCCGATGATCCTCCAAGCCAGCCAATGACGGCCCAAACGCAGCTTGAGAAGGCCCCCCGCAATGTGCCGAGGACATCCTCATGTGGCCCAAAGACCCCCCAGAGATAGCAAGAGGACTCGCGAAAAGGCTATCAAGACGCCCCCGAGGGGCCTCCGAGACTCTCAGAAGAGCCCCCTTTGAGGCCTTGAAGACGGCCCTCCTACGCAATAGCCGACGCGCATTTGATGGAATCCACCCCGCAAAATCACAGCAAACACGCACCGCACATTACTGGAACGATCGATGTAACCAGATCGGCTGATGTAGCTGGCTGATGGAGCACCCATGCGAATGCAAGCGTGCCCCCAGCCGCCAACTCTGTCAACGAAACTTACTTGGTTCCTCCCCCTTGCGGCAGCGACGAGATCCCCCCGCTGCGTGAGCAAAACGACCCAACATGCCTCGTCTGTATGGTTGACCGCTCCCCTGGCAATCACGAACCCTGGGAGATCGGCGCAAGTGCACTGATCCGCTTGGGCCGTCCGCGCCTGAGGAGCAGGAGGTAGAGCAGGGGCTTGGAGAGGAGGCGAGGAAGAGGAAGGGTGTTGCTGGCCCCGCCCTTTTTTGAGCCCCAGGGGCCTCTGGGCCTCGTGCGGGGTGCTCTGGAGGCGAGGAGGAGGAGGAGGAGGAGGAGGAGGAGGAGGAGGAGGAGGACGGAGGAGGAGGAGGAGGAGGGAGGGGAGCAGGAAGACCAGAGTTGAGTATGACGAAGCGAAGCCAGGGCGAGAGGGCGATGGACACGGGGCGGGCCATGGGCTGAAGCAGGTTACTGAAGGGAAACTGGGACACACAAATAAATACACACAAATAAAAAGATTCCCCATATTTTCCTATATGTTCTGGGTTTTTGTCTTCCCCACCACTTCCCATATTTTTGCATATTTTCTGGGAATCGCCGATTAATTGTGTCTGTGTGTTTTTTCCCCTCCTGAGTTACGAAGGTCTTGCGCCTGGTGCCGCCGACCCTGAAGGGGGAGGAGGACGACGACGACCACGACCACGACCACGACGACGACGACGACGACGACGACGACGACGACGACGACGACGACGTCGACGGTGATGACGACGGCGACGACGACGACGGCGGCGGCGACGACGACGCTGAACCTGACGCTCTGGAGCCGAAAGCTTCTCCCGGGGAGGGTCACCACCCCCGGGACCCCCACACCACCACCCCACCCTTACGGATTATTATTCTTCTTATTCTTCTTCCGCTTCCTCTTCCTCGTCCTCTTCCTCTTCCTCCCCCTCCTCCTCCTCCTCCTCCTCCTCCGCCTCCTCCTCCGCCTCCTCCTCCTCCTCCTCCTCAGGGGGAGAGGGCGAGGCGGGCGGAGCCATGGGCCGAAACGTGCTTGCATTCTGACCCCTGGGCCTCGCCAGCGCGCCGGCGCTTGATCGAGGCGCTCTCCTCCGATCGCGGGCGCGGGGCAGTGCGGGGGGGGCTGGGGAGCGCGGGCGCGGGGGAGGACGAGGGGGGGGATCGCGGATGGAGGAGGGGGAAGGCGAGGAGGAGGAGAAGGGAGGGGACCGGAGATGGGGAGTGCTGGGGAGGGGCGGGAAGGAAGGCGGGAAACGGGGCGGAACCATCAAAACGAGGGAGACAGAGGGCAATACATAACGCATGCGTGCGCTCACATACTACCACGCGCGAGCGCGCTTCGCGCTCAGGGTAAAATGATTGCCTGTTCATGCCGTGTGTCTCTCCTTTTCTCGCTTCTCTGCATCGATCGTGGGGTATCCCTAGTTAAGCCTTTCCAAATTGTCTGGGAACGTTTCCGAAATATGCACGGGCTGCTGCTCAGAAGGGACTCTATTGCGACCTCTCAAATGTCTTTTGGGCCACGTCGGGCCTTCTTCGATCGTCGGGAACTCAGAACGTCCTTTTGGGGCAATCTCGAAGCCGCGTTGAGCAATCTTGGGGTCCTCCTGGGCGGTCATGGGCTCCTTTCAGGGAAGCCTAGAATCGAATCGAATCGATAAGTCGGATCGGCCATCGAAATGAAGCGGATCGGCGTAAATCGGCAGCCACGTCGGGAGAGGTCGAACCGGCGAAAATCGGACGGTTAGTAAGGGCCCCATTGATAGACCACAACAGCCAAACTGGAATCCGAAGTCGCATGGAATCGAAATCGACATCGATCAAATCGACTCGAACGGAATCCGCCGACCCCTTGTAGGTCTCTAGGCGTGTGAGATAGTTCCCCCCCATACCCCCCCCCCCAGGGACCCGAAACCGGAGATTCGACCCCCCCCCTCGCCTACCACGACCCCCCGCCGAACGCGCCAAGGGGGAGCAGGGGGCCCAAAACGGGCCAAGAGCGCACCAAGGGGTCTCCGAGACGGTCCAAGAAGGTCTTGAGTAGCCAAACGAGCGGTCCAAGACGACCAAGATGACTCCAAAACAAGCAAGGAGACCTCCAAAACGGCCCAAGAGGCCTCCAAGATGCGTCCCAAGAGGGTCCCTAAACGCAAAAATGGGCCCATTCCCGTCGTAAAACGTATAAAGTTTAACATATTCACCTTCTGGGCTTTCCGATGCTCCCAGACGGCCCAAGAGGCCCCCAATACCGCCCCAAAACGGCCCAAGAAGCCTCCAAGAGGGCCCCAAGATAGCCCAAGAGGGCCCCAAGACGGCCCAACAGGCGTCAAAGACGGCCCAAGAGGGCCCCGAAAACGGCCCCAAGAGCGCTCCATGAGCGCTCCAAGTGGCCTCCAAGAGAGCTCAATATGGTCCCACACGGTCCAAGAACGATCAAAGACACCGAAGATGGCCGCCCCTGACGGCCCAAGATGCCCCCAAGAGGCTCCAAGAGGCATCCAAGATGCGTCCCAAGAGGGCCTCTAGACGCAAAATTGGCCCCGCTCCCATCGTAATGCGTACATGTTTCACTAATTCGCCTTTTGGGCTTTCCGACGCTCCCAGACGGCCAAATAGGCCCCCAAGACCGCCCCAAGACGGTCCAAGAAGCCTCCAAGAGGGCCCCAGGACAGCCCAAGAGGGCCCCAAGACGGCTCAAGAGGCGCCGAAGACGGCCCAAGAGAGCCCCGAAGACGGCCCCAAAAGCGCTCCAGGAGCGCTCCAAGTGCTTCCAAGAGAGCTCAACATGGTCCCACACGGTCCAAGAACGATCGGAGACGCCCGAGATGGCCTCCAGGTGGCCCAAGGCGCCCCCTAGAGGCCTCCAAGATACGCCCCAACAGGGTCCCTAGACGCAGACATTTGCTCATTTCCGTCGTAAAACGTATATGTTTCACAAATTCGCCTTTTGGGCTTTCCGACGCTCCAAGACGGCCCAAGAGGCCCCGAAGACCGCCCCAAAACTGCCCAAGAGGCCCCCAAGACGGCCCCACGACGGCCCAGGATGGCCCGAGACGGCCCACGAGGTTCCCAAGACGGCCCAAGAAGGCTCCGAGACGGCACCAAGAGGGGCCTAAGAGGGCAACCGAAATTTAAAAATCTAGCTTTCCGCCCCCACGAGCCCCCAGTAATGCCCCAAGAGGCCGCCAGAGGCCCCCAAGAGGCCGCCAAGACGCCCCAAGGAGCCCCCAAGAGGCCCCCAAGAGGCCCCCCAAAGACCCCCAGACGCTTCCGTACTGCGAGCCGCGAAGCCAATTGCAATGCACTCCGCGCATACAGCCTTGCTCTTCCTCGTGAAGTGCTCACTCTCTTGCTCGGCGCTAATGTGCTGCTGCCGCGCGAACTGTTCCGTGCGCGCTGCGAACGTCAACAGCCTCTTCACCCTTTCGACTCATCTGCCACATCTTTCGCGGCGGTGCCTCGCTGATCGCAGCTTCCGCACACCACTCTTGCTCCTTTCGTCTTCCGGTGGTCCTCCACTTGGCTGCGGGTCGAAAGGCCGACCTCCCAGAAAGACACCCCGCACCCGGGTGCACAGCACGCAAGGCGCTCGCAAAACACGCCCCAGACCACCGGCATCACGCAAACATTTGGACCCCCCACGTATCTGCCACCACCCGCGCGCGACATCGCACCCTCACACAAGACGCCGCTGGCCTCGCAGCACTCACAGAAGGGGTCGGCGGATGTGGCGCAAGCCTGTAGAATCAACATCGATCGAAATCGACCCGAATCGAGTCGGAGGGGTCGAAACGAGCCCTGCCCTTGGTGCGATCAGCAGCCAAACCTTGCACTCCATCGACTTTGTGGGCGGGCGGGGCGGGGGGGTGGGCAGGCTGCCAGGCCCCCAGAGGCCCCAGGAAGCTCCCGGGAGGGACCATGAGGGCCCCGAGAGGCCTCCTCCTCACCCTCTTCCCCTTCCCTCTTCCTCCTCCTCCTCTCCTCCTCCTCCATTTCCTCCTCCTCCTCCTCCTCCCCTCCCTTTCCTCCTCCTCTCTTCCTCCTCCTCATCTCCCCTCCTCTCCTCCCCCTCCTCCTCCTCCCCCCACTCGCCCTCCCCCTCCCCCTCCCCCTCCCCCCCCCCTCCTCTCCTCCCCCTCCTCCTCCTCTTCCTCCTGTTCCTGCTCCTGCTCCTGCTCCTGCTCCTGCTCCTCCCCCCTTTCCTCCTGCTCCTGCTCCTGCTCCTCCTCCTCTTCCCCGTCCTCCTCCTACATTCTTCATTACGCAATATGAAATCTACTCTCCTCTCTCCCCCGACGACCCCGAGGTCGTAGCCTGCCCCCCTCCGCGTTTTGTGTTTTTGCACATCGGATCCCCCAAAGGTGGTCGATCATGTGTGTTCTCGGTGTTTCAGAATGGCGCTCCCGCTAATTACAACGTTGGCTCCATTTTATGGCTCTCGGCCCTTCAAAATCATACTCCCGCTGCAACGCTGACCCCATATTCATTGTTCTGGATCTTCCAAATCGTGTTCCCGCTACGGCGTTGGCTCATCTAACGCTTCCACTATTCCCGAACCGTCAATGCACATGTTTCGTCTGGCCGTCATGTCTGGTGTCCCTCAGAACCTGTTGTCTAAATGGCGGGTTCCCGTTTGTTCTGTTACCGGCCTCTTGGTCCCCGGCTTCCCCCGGCACCGGGGGCAACCCCAGCAAGACCTCCATCAACATCACCTTCAAGCGTAGCACCCGTGTCACGAACGTATGCCCGAGAATCCCTGATAAGGGAGGCCACGGTCCATCCGCCCATGCTCGCACATGCCGTTGATCCTCAGAAAACCGAATTGTATCGACTGAGGCCCCGCAAAGAGCCATCCTGGGGATGGGCTGGCATCCCCCGAATCGCGCGGCCCTGGCGATTGGACCCAGAGTTTCGAGGACCCAAGATGTCTCAGGCGAAACGGGCCAGAGTGCCTCAAATCAGGGCATCTCGGAGCCTGGGGTTCTGAGAATGTCTCAAGCGAAACGGGCCTGAGCACATCGAAAACCGCATCTGGGAACCCAGAGCTGGGAGGATTGCCAGGCGGAATGGGACCGAGCAGCTCACGTCAGGGCATCTCGCATCGATCGAAACAGGCCTGGGCACCTGCGAAACGCATCTTGGAACGCAATATCGTGAGGGCATCTCAGGCGGAACTGGCCAGAGCACCGCAAATCAGGGCATTTCGGAGCCGTGGATTCCGAGAGTGTATCCAGCGAAACGGGCCTGAGCACCTCGCGAGCCGCATCTTGAAAAAGAAATGCGAAGATGCCTTAGGCGAAACGGGCCAGAGCACCTCAAGTCAGGGCATCTCGGAAACAGGGGTTCCGAAGATGTATCCAGCGAAACGGGCCTGAACACCTCAACAACCATATCTTGGAAACCAGAGTCGTTAGGATGCCTCAGGCGAAACGAGCCAGAGCATCTCAAGCCAAGGCGTCTCGGAGCCCGGGGTTCCGCGGATGTCTGAAGTGAAACGGGCCAGAGCCCCTGTGGGACATGGGGCGCACCGAATTCTTTTGAAGGCAACCTCTCCCTGGCACCTCCCCGGCACCGCCGTTGTAGGGTTGCCGGGGTCGCCCAGGGCTGCCCCCGGCGACCCAGGCACCCGGGCTCAGGTGCCCTGCCCCCCCACCCGCCAGCCAAGGAAAGCCCTGAAGGGGTCCAGAACAGCTCTACAGCATTCCAAAGTGACCCGCGATGACCGTGCAGCTCTGATAACATACACGCCCACCTCCGAAAACAAAGGGGCCTTCGAGGCATCCCCGCAATCTGGTCGCGAGCAGGCCCGTGGAACACCATTGGTCGGCAGAGCACCAGCCCGTATCACAAGGCACGATCGAGCCGCGTCCAGCCCTGGCGACGAGGAGTGTCCCGAAAGCATCGGCAACACACAAGTACTTGTCTGACTGTAATGCCAGCATTATCCTTCCTCCTCGTCTTCTTCTTCTTCCTCCTCCTCCTCATTCTCCTACACTCATCCTCCTCCCTCTCATTCCCCCTCCTCTTCCTCCCTCTCCTCCTGCTCCTCCTACTCCTACTCCTCTTCGCACTCCTCCTCAGCCTTAGCTCGAACTTGCGAGGACGTCTCCTGCGAAACTGGCCAGACCACCTCACACGCGGTATCTTTGAACTCAGACTTGCGAGGATGCCTCTGGCGAATCACCTCGCGGGTGGCATCTCCAAGCCCAGAGCTGCGAGGATGTCTGAAGCAAAATGGGCGGGGCCACCTCAGGTCACGGCATCTCCGAACCCAACATTTCCAGGATCTTTCAAGCGAAATGGGCCGGACCACCTCTCGCACGACATCTGGGCGCCACGAATTGCAAATATGTCTCAAGCAAAACGGGCCAGACCACCTCAGACCTGGTCATTCCGGAATACGGACTTGGAAGGCTGTCTCAAGTCAAACGGGCCAGCTCAGCGTAAAGTTTCGAGAATGTCACGACGCGCAGGACCTTCAGACGGCACGCGATCTTACCACAACCATGCACCCCGGCACCAGCCAGGCAACCCGGGAACACCCCACAACAAAACCTTCATGACAGCACCAGACGAGAACCTCCCAAATGGGTAGTGTTCTCGACCAGCGGACATACTTTCCGCTGCAATGCGTCACCACGCAATGCCACGCCATGCTATGACATGTTGCGCTCTGTCGTGCTCTTCTACGCAGTGCGCTACCATGCATCTCGAACCGTCTCGGGATCATTACCCTGTTGGAAATCCGACTGTGCCAAGATGGAGGGGATCTACGCCATGGCAAGGGCTAGGAGGGAGGGGTAGGACGTCAGATAAGACGCTTGCGCACGCAGCTTGCCTCCTCCTCCTCTTGTCCTTCCCCAAGGATTCCCCTAAGGGTTGGCAAAACTTTGGCCCTACGTTTGGTCGAATCAGGGCACATGTTCTGAAAGTGTCCCACCACCTTCTTACGCAGCATGCACCATACGCCAACCTTTGGGTGATAGTAAACTTGGGGTAGGTGGGTGAGAGGCTGTGTCAATTTGAGCGCTGGCGTGATGGCGTGCCTAGCAACCGCGGGATCGACTCTTAGGATTTGATGCTTAACAACCCACGGGGCAACCACAACACAACCCACAAGCTAACCTTGGGACAGCCCACGGGACAACCCACGGGACAACCACGTGACGACGACGTTGCAGCCCACGGAACAGCCCGTGGGACAACCGCGGGACAACCACGACACGACCACACAACAACGCAAAGGACAACCACGGTACAACAGCAAAAGCAACAACGCGTCGACGTGACAACTCACGGGATAACTTACGGTAATTCCACTGGACAACCCACGGGACAACTCCAACTTTGTCGGTCTCCTGCGAGACGGAATAAACATGTATCGCACGACGTGGTCCTTGCCATGGCCAACACATCATCACCCTCGCGCAATTCGCATCGCCAACACGGGCAACCAGAACTTAAATCGACACCACTTTCTTCGCTGACCTCACTTCGCCCCCACGCCTCAACCTCCGACAATTTGTTTGAAGGGCCATCCAGAGGATGGATCATAACATCCGTTTGCTGAAGTACTTCCCACCTCCCACGCCCCGTCCACATCCGCCCAGAAGCGCTCGTCTCGTTGGCTTCTTCGCCCGTTGGGGGAAAGCGACGCTGCGATGCTCCCGGAGTCCTGCGGCATGTCCCTAGATAGCTGGCTCGTCTCGGCGAACCTCCAGCGGTTGCGCAACACGACCTCGCCCCTCCTGCCACACGCTGGCCGCCCCTGGCATTGCCTGGAGCGGTCCCTCGCGGCCGGCCGGTGCCCAACAAAGATCCCGGCCCCCTTTCTGGTCCACCGTCTCTGCCCCGCGCCTGACCTGGCTTTTGGCTGCGCCGTCTTGCCCCTCCCTCGCTCCCCTCCTCCCCACTCCGCCCCTCCCCGCCCTGACGGGCAAGCCGAGCCACGGCGGAGCTGTTTGGCAACCGACGCGGCCCGCACGACAGGCAATGCGAAGCGCTCCTCGCGCTGAGCAGGACCGGTGACAGAATACGCGTCGGCCAATAAATGTAATCGAACGTGTTTCGGGCGGGGTTGTGAGCGTTCGTTCTCCGCCGTTCCGTTTCTTAGGCCCGCCTTAGCTCGCAGCATACTTCGCACAATCTTGGCTACGGATGTGCAGGCAAGCCAACAGGTTAGGACTCTTCCACCCTCAGAAGCTCGACGTTGTCTCCCACACAACAAACGTTAGCATTCAGATTGGGCGGCGTGTCCCTCAAAGCTGGTGGTGACGTGCTCGAGCGCATCTGTACGCCTAGAGATGCAGATATGGGACCCCGCATCATGACTGCCTGTGCTCCATGCCCGACGCGCTGGCGCCAATCCTCCACCGTGCCACACTCCGCGCGATCTGACGATGCTTACACAATCTGGGAACCAACGTGGCACCAACACACGGACGCCCCAAACAGAAGAACGCGTCGTCAGATGTGCACGATCTGCGCCGCCCTCAAAGTGTCCACGTTTACGCCGGGGAGCTGGGCTGCGGCATGACATTTACCAGGGCTGGACCTGACCGTTGTTGTTCGTTGTGTTGTCATGCTGTTTTCCGTTTTGCCCTACCTGTGTTCCTGTACCTCCCTGCCAAAACGAAAAACAAAACACAACGGAAGTCCAGCACAACAGCGTTTAGGTCCAGCCCTGCTCTGGAAGAGATTGGGGAGGGCGACGGCCTCGCGGCGTCCTGGTGCCACTCTGGGTTTCGTTGCCGCTTCCCTCCCTCCCGCCTGCGGCCCGATTGTCCATGCGAAGGCATATGGCAAGGACCCTCCCGTCTGCGACACGCCCGCGATTCACTCAAGGGCGTGTCTAAGACTTCTCAACCTTCAACACCTGCAACGTTTTGAGAGGAGTCGCATGTCCGTCCCCATCGCATGGGCACGCGATCATACTGAATCCCTGTTGAATGATACGCCCTCTGGATACCCGCTACGTCTGCGATTACTTCCGTGCCAGCCCAAGACCCAATGCAAACACACACGCTCACAGGCAGCACGCCTTCAGCGCTCGCAAAGCCCACTGAAACATAATGGATAAAAGAACGTGAGTACATGTTATGGTGTGCCCAAGCCAAGACAACCGTCCCTGAACGTAGCAACACCAACTGCATTCACAATGCGCATCACGCTTGATTTAACTTTTTGGACCCCCGAAAAGGACACACGTGCACAATCAAGACACGGCCACGTGAAGCGCATACACACATATATATATATATGTATATATCCAAAGCCGAGACGTTAATGATTGCAACTCCGGTAAGCTCAGCGTGAATGCACCCCTCCGCACCATCGCACGTCGGCCGGCTTTCTGGTGAGCTTCCAGGACTGCGTCGATGGCGCGCCACTGGAAGCAACCACCTCTGGCAAACGCCATGCATAATTTAGAGCCTGCTCGTTCCTCAAGTAATTTCGCGCGGTCAACTATCGATTGGTCTGCACTGCCGGGGGATCATCTGGGCATCGGAGCGCTGGATATGTCAGTCCTGGGAAGAAGCGCGTCCGTAGGGCCCAAGCGAGAGGATGCATCTGACCTGCCACCAGCTCAAGGCATCAGCATCACTGAAACGCATCAGTCGGGGAGACGTAAGACCCGGGTACGGAGGACTCGGAAATCCCCGACGAGGTCGTCAACAAAAATGACGAGGCCGAGCCTGCATTTTGACGAGGCCTCCCGCTGCAGACATCCCACAAAACTCCTCCTCGTCAAAATCCGAGTCGCGGTCGTCAAAAAACGATGGCGAACCCGAGTCCTGGCAAGCCCAGGTCTTACGCTCCCCCGAATCAGGTCGTCTCATTTTCACATGCCGGGCTCGTTAGTCTTCAGAGCGTCCAAGACGTCTCCGGGACCCCCAGGACGAGCCCCCGAACGGCCAACCGAGCCGGACCACGGCCTCCCGGGACAAAAAGGGGCTCGACATGCTTGCGAGAGGCCCCCAGGGGGGGCCAAGAGAGAGAAGCTCCAAGGGGCCAATGGGGCCCCAGTCCAAAGGGCCCCCAAGAGGCCACCAAAGACGCCAAGAAGCCTCTGTTGATCGTCTTGTCCACGACCAATCTGCTCCCGTGAGTCCCCCAATGTCTCAGCACAGCATGCGCGTCTCGAAGACTTCAACAACACTTACTTTCTCGTGTCTTCGAGTCCTCAAGGTATTAACGTAACACAAATGTCTCGATGGTTCAGGCAATCGTTGTCTTCTCTTGCTGTCGAACTTTGTTCAAACTGGATTCACAACGAGACGCAACGGATCGTTAAACGCCGTGGGAACCGTTTGACTCCTACATGACTGGCTTCGCGATTCTAATAAGACGTCAACGGTGGCCCAAGAGGCAAAACAACTGGCTGCAAGGGGGCCGCTGAGATGCTTAAGAGAAGCACAGGTACCCCTCCAACAGAGCCAACGAGGCTTTACCACACAACTGGTCCACAAACTAGGCGCGGTGGCGGGATGGGCCGCAAGCCACTCGATCACACCCTTCAACCACACCTAGGGCGAGAGTGATGCCATGATGAGGTTGCTCAGGATACTATCATATATCCAGGGTTTCCAAAACATCTAACGACGCAGCCTGTGCGGAACTGTCGGAATTACGGGAAATCCTGGAAAACTTGGAAACCCTGGAACGTGTCATTGTCATGATTTGTTGCTCCTCTCGGCCACTCATGCGAGATACCCAGCACTCACAACCACTCGTACCAAGGCCCTCACACTCGGTCTCCCAAGCCACACACTCATGTTGCGGTCAACTGGAGACTGGCGCCACTCCTATCCTGGCCCATGCTAAATTTCTAGACAATCCTGGCCTAAATTACGGGTCTCTGCGAACACGTCTACGACCCCAGGAGAAGATACATGTCAGTGCACCAGTGGCAGGACCTGAATCATACATGATACTGGCCAACAACGCGGCGTCTAAAATTCTACCCACACGCTGTCCCGTTGCCATGGGGATCAATATCGTGAAATCCGCCGATCCGGCGTGTGAGTTTCTGAGAGCGTGGACTTGAGCTCGCTCAAGCTTCGCTCTGCAGGGGGGGGGGGGCATGTATTTCGATACACGGGGATATTTCCGACGTCAGTTCCGACGTTTTTCGGTACCCGGGGACAGGGGGGTGTAGAAAACTCCACTTCCGGAGCCCCGACCGCCCAAGAGGAAGCCAAGAGAGGCCCCGGAGGCCCCCTAGACAATGCAAGAGGGCCCCGAATAGCCGAAACATCGCTCGAACCGCCCAAGGTGCCCCGAAGACAGTTCCAGAAACCTCCAAGACGTCCCCAAGTCTCACCCCCCCCGGATCGGCGGCATTGGCCGGAGGCCAGCCCAATACTGATAGGCTTCTGTCGTCCTCGTCACGCGGCTGCCCCGCGCCACCATCCCAATTCTGCATCTGCTGGCCCACGTTGGCCCCGTCTATCACCTGCCCGTCGCTCTTCCGTCCGAATTCACTTACCCGGTGGTGCATCTCACAGTACGTCTCCAGATGCAAAACCTTCGGATTAGACACATCATCCTGCAAACTGAACAGCTGGCTATAGCTGGAATTCTGAGAGCACCCCGGTACAATAATGCGCGAGGAAAAAGACGCTCATATGTTCAACATCCACAGCGGCTGGATACCGCTGGACGGATGGCAACTATACAGCTGGCGCGCAGCGGGGGGCACTGCGGTAGATGGAGAACCAGGAGAACCCAGAATTGAATCGACAGTCGGATCGGCGATCGTAATTCACCGGATCGGCGGAAATCGGAAAGCCAGGTGACTCTTTTTTTCCCGTTGGGGGTAACCACGTGTGACCCCGAGGGGAGCGGAAGGGGGGGGGCGGTCGGGGGCGTAACGGTCGGCCTCGGCGTGCACATTCGCCAGGGTCGGTCCGCGCCACCAGCACATCGATCGCCTATGTGCACCGCAGTCCCCGCGTACACGGCAATGCCCAATGCCTGCGTGCAGCACAGCGCCGCCTGTGTACACCACAGTGCCTCCGTGCGCCACAACAGCCGCGTGCACCACAGCACCACGTAGCCTGTGTGCACCACAGTGCCTGTGTACACTGCAGCCGCGTGCGTTACAGCGCCTGTGTACACCTCAATGCCTGCGTGCACCAGAATGCTGGTGTACACTACAATTTCTGTGTACACCACAACAACCACGTGTACCACAACGCCTGTGCACACCACAATGCCTCCGTGCACCGGAACGCCCGTGTGCACACCACAACACCAAACGTGCCAGCGGGCACACTAGTAGCTTGCGAGCACCACGTGGGAAGAGAAGAGGCGAGGTGGTGTTGGGAGCAGGCGGGAGAGGAAGTAGGAGAGTCGAGAGGTGGGGGAAGGTGGGAAGACGTGGGGCGTCGGCTGTACCTTAGGTCAGTGTCGTGACGCCTTGAAGTTGGTTTCAGATACCCCGTGGATCGTTCAATCCTGAACGGTCTGCGCAACCGGAAGCTCTCGGCCCAATGTTTAAACCATGATTTCGCACCGCGGGTTCGTTTCGGAGAATCCTGGGGCTCGAAAGGCCACCCCCCGGGCGCGTCGCAACCATGAACGCCCGCGCTGGGGTCGCCGCCGCGCCTTCTCCGTGCCAGCGAAGTGCCTGCGGCCAGCGACAACAACGAACAATAACGAGAGCCCGCAGGCCCTCCCCCCAGTGGGGCCACCAGGCTGTGAATAAGCTGTTATCTTGCTCCCGCCCCCCTTCCCACCTCCTACTCCCCCTCCGCCTTCTCCTCATCGTTCTGGCCCTCTTCCAATGATACCCATTGGCCCATTTGCTACACCGTAACACTTGCGTACACCACAACGACTGCGTACACCACAGCAGCCGTCTGCAGCACAGTGTACACCACAGTGCCTGCGTGCATCACAACGCCTGTGAACACCGCAATGCCTGTTCACACCACAGCAGCCATGTGCACCGCAGCGCACGCGTACGCCACAGTGCCTGTGCCCGTATACACCAAAGTGCACTGTCCCTGCGTGCGCGTCGATGCCTGCGTGCGCCAGAGCGCCTGTGCACTCCGTACAGTGTCCTTTGGAAACTGCAAATATTCACGCTTGTGGCCGGTTTCCAAACGTGACAGTTACGGGGGTGCGTTTGGGGGGGGGGTGTCACGCGTTACCCCCGGGGGCTTCAATAGAAAGGCACCAATAACCCTCCGTTGAGAAACCGGATCCAAAATCGTAATCTCCAGTCGAATCGAATCGGAAGCAGAAGCCATCGAAATCGAATCGAATCGAATCTGAGGAATCGAAGTGAGCCCTGGAGAACTGGAGCTGCTTGCTGGGCACGGTGCGCTCAGGAGCTGCCAACTGCGCGAGGCACTGCTCGGCATGGCCCGCGCGAGGCAAGCGAGCTTGCCGCACGCGGAGCTCGCTGGCGGCCCAGGGGGCCGGAGGCCATGGCATCATGAGCATCGCTCATCCGGCGCCTATCCCCAATCGCGTGGCCTGGGCCCTAGTGGCCGATCTACCCCCCTAGATGGGGAGATAGGCCGCTTCCTTTGGGTTTCGAAAGGTATATCCCTAGCTGGGGTGCTGAGATGGTGGGGGTCTGGATGGGGATGGTGTCGGTGAAACGAGGCTGACATCAATGAACTCTGCTGTTCGGGCGAAACCTCTGCTCCGAAGACCCCAGAGGAGCAAGCAATTGCAAGAACATCAAAACTCGGAGCTCCGCGCGGACTCCTCGGATCGGTGCTGTGACCCCTGGCGCGGGGTTCCGATGCCGATCCACGAAACGATCGGACCTCCGAGCTTTTATGTTTACGCCATTATTTGTTCCCCTTCGCAGACCCCCCCTTTGTCTCCGCTTGGTAGTCTCCCTCCAGGTCCGCGACCTGCTTCTTGAAGCTGGGCCAGGCAAGTTCCAGTTCTTGCAGCTCCTGCGTCGCTGCTGAGATTCCCTGATCCATGCGCATGCAGCCTGGCAAAAGCGGCACACATTGCGACACTTGTATACGGTCAATCAATGATGACCTGACTGCGAACATGTTGTCATAAAATTTGAATAATTCGATTACGCGTCCGGATGAGCTCACTGATCAAGCGCCTGCTGCTCTCTGCTGCTGGTCGCTTTTGGCGTTGAGGTGCTCGGCTGCACGCAGTCCCCCCTGCAATGGCACTCCATTCCTCTGACGTGACGGCGATCTTGGAGACGGGCTTCACGCCGGAGGCCCGCAGTGCCTTGATGTCCTCCCCGCCCTCCACCGCCAGCAGGCTACCGGGTCCGACACAGGAGCCGGCCCGCACCAGCTCGGAGTCCGGGTGGAGCTGTGGGGATTTCGGGCCCCGCGGCCCCGCGGGCGCGTGCTGGCATCACGGCAGAATGGCAGGCGGGCCGTGGGGGCCGCTTCCCAGGGGAGCGGCCAGACGACCCCCGGCGCACAGGCTCTGGTGCGCCTTGCAATCTCATTCGCTCGTGTCCAATGACAACTAGACAGCAGGGAACGGACTCAAGCTGAATGAGGCCAACCAGGGCGTCCACTTGTATCTGCATGGCCAAAGTGCCCGGTCGGGGCATGCGCGCCCGAGTGGTCGCCCTGCTCTGAAATGGCAGGCTTCTGGGTGCTCTCCAGGCGCGGGCGGGCTGGAGGCACTTCTCGGATCTCGGGAGCCCCACGGCTGGCGTTTTGGCAGGCACGCTAGCAGATCCTGGGAAGCACAGTCGAGGTTGATGAGAGAGGACACGCGAGAGGACACAATCTCCTTCCGAGGGCCACATTGCCATAGCAACGTAGAGGGCATGGGTCGCGAAACACAGGACGCAGGGGTACCCTTGACTTGGCAGGATCGACCTACCAATCCGCCTCGACTGTATGAGAGCTCTGGCGAGTGCGCTGCGCTGCAGAAGACTTGCCCTTCGGTTGGATGACTGGCGCGGGTGCGCAACAGAGTCCTGCCTGGCAGACGGGGGCCTGCCTGCAAGGGCGGCAAGCTCGGAAAGAACGCGTGCGCATCAGGAGAAGAGCCTTGCATGCGGCTGTCTAGGGGACGCTCTCTTGGTTCATCTTCAGTACAAGGCGCTGCACACACACACACACAGAAAACGTGAAGGCATAGAACAACTATGGTCTCAATATTGTTCCTCGTTATCAACCTCTCACTCCCTCTTCTTCCTCCCCTCTGGAACAAAAATAGCATCGGGAAACAACTCTCCTCCCGTGTCGCCTTCCGTTGCTTTCTCCCAGAATGAGGTCGCGAAAGTGCACACTGCTGAGAGGTCGAGGCGGGAGACGTCCACAGTTCGCCGACAGAACTCCTTGAGCGAGTAGCCTGTCTTACACCGTAGTTACTTGGTCTAGCTTATGTACCTGTGATGTGTTAGTTGTGGGTATCAGATTGTCTGATTGCCAAACATACAGAATGAACGAGCGCGCCGAGTCCGCCGGCCAGTCGGCCAGCAGGCCCCTTGGGGGCAGCGCGGGTGGGCCGGGGCCCGCATATTGCTCTTGCTGAACGAAGGCGCGTGTCCCATGCAGAGTCGGAGTCGGAGTCGGAGCCGGAGAGATGGGAAGGGACCAAGAATCGGAAAAGAGATATGAGCCAGAGTCAGAACCTGCAGAATACCTTCAACCATTCCGCCAACATAAATAATCAGGATCATGAGCCGGAGTCGAGAAGACGGGTGCTGGAATCGGAGCCGGGGTCGGGGAGGCGGGATGCTGGCATGCTGGGCTGTCGTTTTTCTCGTCTTCGCTAGTGCGTGACTTGATGGAGAACTGCCACCACCCAGCTGTTGAGTTTGTTTTTGGTGAGACGCGCACATGGCCAAATTGTCCTCGGGCGGCCCGCGGAAGAGCCCGCCGAGGAGAAAAGCAAGAGGCCACAGTGAAAGCAAGTACGTGCTTGACCTCTCGGAGCTGGCGTCGCCAAATCGTGGGGATCGTGCGGGACACCTGCTCCGCTGCAGTCGAGGAAGACATTCGCGCGTCTAGATAAACGCCACCCGAAGTCCCACAGCCGACTCGAGGACGCAAGAACGCAGATCAAGAACACGAGCCCCCTCGCCGAAGGCTAAGGGCCCGTGATCGAGGCCTCCCGGCTCGCCACAAGACCGCCCCACGGTGGCACATGTAAGCTCCCAAACTCCCCAAATTGAAAGAAAGGCCCTGCTCAGGGCAATTCGCCGGGATGGGCTGGTGGGGATGCGCGGCGTGTCACACGTTTCTGCGCTTTTTCGCAGATGGTTGCCATCGCTACGGATCCCCGCCCAGATCCGGGCACAAAGTGCAGGCATGATGCTTAGCAGTGGCAGCCAGCCGGATCATCTTCAGCGTGGGTACTACACCCTGCGAAATGCTTAAGAAATCATGGGTTAAGAAATTCATGGTCTCAGAACTCGAATAAAAACCCACAATTTCTATCAAAATCTTAGGATTTACATGGAAACGTTAAGAATAATCGAGACTCTGGACGAAAACTTGGGTTTTCTTAAGCATCGCCTAAGGTGTACATCTTATGATTACCAGCTGAAGGGCCCCTAACCCTTTCGGAGCGGACCTAAGTGAACAGGCGCAACACATTCGGGATAAGGGGGTCTTTTTGCAGCAGATGCATCAAGCCAACTCACCCAACTTGATTATCCCTCATGCGCAGTCTCCACTGCTACTGGAGTTCGGGGTGCGTTTATGCTTGATGAATGCTCGTGCCTATTCTGATCGCGAGCACGCATGTCTCAGAACGTCGCGCACCGGGTTGCCAGCGTTAAACCATGCAAGACGTGCGCACAGAGGGGAACTGGCGTGGGGCGGGAAAAGGGAAGACAGCGCAGGAACAGGCCGTCGACAGAAGCAAAGCCATCTCATCAACCAGAAGACATATCGCCGAAGTATCTAACGAAAATTTCGAAAATATTGCCACCGCAACAGAAACCGGCCAGTGGCAGGCGGCGGTGCGAGGCGGGAGGCGAGCAACTGACAGGCCACGAAGGCGGCCATCAAAAGCAACACCACTCGGGGGTCACGCTGAAAGCGGGAGGGGTGAACGGAGCAGTAGCGACGATCGTCTCAGACCAAGTCGAAGCCCTGCCCCGCCCAATCCGCTGCTACAAGGTCGTCGATGTCGGCTTCGACCTGGTCCAACTCATCCTTCGCCAACGCAGTCCGCAAGCGCGTCCCACTGGCAGAGAATAAGCCTGTGGAGCAGGCAAGATGCCCCGACCCTGCAAATCTGACCACAGAACGCTTCGCCTCTTGGCTGCGAGATTTCGCTGACACGGGGGCAAGCGAAGTGGGGCATGCATCCAGATGGATCGGATGGTCATGGTCGCAGATGGTCGAAATCATGTAATTAGAACGTGTCGTACCCTGCCAACCTCACCCCACACATTATATATGCATGTGTTTATATACACATGTGATTCATAGATATGTCTGAAGCGTATCCCAGAAGGCCCCGAATAATCCAACGGTCGGCTCAGAGGCGCCTACAGTCCCGTGACTAATGATCTCAAGAGCCTCGACGATGCCCATTTGAGGCTTCAACTCAAACCAATTGACAGGTCCGATGATCAGATGACCGAGGCATCGCATAAGAACGTATATCCGACGTTGATGGATTCACCCTCGTTTTGCCACTCTTGCTCCACATAACTCGAACTTGCCACATAACGCCGTACGTTATCTCACCTCTCGCCCTACTTTTCTCAATACATCCGCCATTTGAGCTATCATTCGCTGTCCTAATTCCTATACATGACCAGCCATTCATTTTCACACGTCTCGTGGTCAAGGGGAGAGGGGGGAAGGAATGAGGAGGGAGGGTGTATTCGAATGGAGGAGATATCGGAGAAGGAGGGGGAGATGGGATAGGTGGGAAGGAATGATTGCTCCACCCGTTGAGATTTAAAGTCAAAACGGCGTTTTTGAAGGATCTCCAACCCCGGTTCGAAGAACGCCATCCTTATCAGGTTTACGCGGGTGTTTTGTTTCGTGCGTGTGTGCATGTGTGTTTCGCATCAGGCCCCTTGCCATGCACGCCGATCTGCTCGCCATCCTCTTCGCCACCTTTATCACCACCAACACATGTTTCATCACCATGATCATCATCGCCTTGTCAACGTCTTCGATATTCGACTCGTGATCCATGCGTAGATTGTCGCCTCGCCAAAGCATATATTGTCGGCCCTCGGCGTTTCTTTGGCCTGTGGGCGAAGGGGCGAGCTGTCCAACGACCACCCACCCAATTCAATATTCAGCACACCGGCAACCGAACATTGCAGCATACACGATCGCCGCTGGGCGAGACCGCCGGGCAAGCTGGGCATGCCGCGCGAGCCAGACACGCCACACGCGACTATCTAAGCGACAACGTTTCACCCCGGTCTCGCCCCCCCCCCTCCCCAGACCCCCGACGTCTTCAATGAGTTCACGACGTCGGCCTCTGGAGGTCTCGACCAATTCTCAGAAACAAATTTCTCATCCAACATGTCTTGGACGGTCCCGAAATCCCGTAAAGGCCCCCAGAGGCCGAACATAGCGGAAAGCCTCCCGTCGTGATTTTTTCGCGAGTCGAGGGGTCTGGGCCCGCTCCCGAAGGGGTCGGCGGAGCCTGTCTCGTCGGGTGCATCCTCAGCGACTCGCCACCCGGCCGCGCCGCAGGCCTCGCGCAGGGCCGCCTCCAGGGCGTCGCCTGCCCTCTGCTTGCCTGGGTTCGCCCCGACCCGCCCGAGCAAGGTGAGAAAAACACAAAGACGGCGACGAGGCTGGCGTACGTGCGTATATACGTAGCACCCCGCAACCGCGGATATGAGTGAGGGGGCGGGCGCGGGCGACGCGGGCGTCGGGCCGGCGGACCTCGTGGCCCTCGCCTTCCCTGTCGATGGCGCCCTCCTCCTCCCCCTCCCCCTCCTCCTCCTCCTCCTCCTCCTCCTCCTCCTCCTCCTCCTCCTCCTCCTCCTCCTCCTCCTCCTCCTCATCGGCCGCCCGCGGACTTGGCGGACCCGGCGGCTCTACGGGGGCCACCCGCAGCTCACGATCCAGCTCCACCACGCCACCTTGGGCCAGCTTCCTGTTGAAGCCGGCCCAAGGGAACAGACACGAGCAGCGCCTGGGAGAGACCCTAAACAGCGGGAGGAGAGGCGGGACGGAGCAGAAGAGGGGGCGGGAGACACAGCTTCGTTGTTCGGGGTGCGGGGCGCGCGCGCCAACTCTTGCCACGGAGGAGGGAGGAGGGTTGTGGGCGCCTTGAGGCAGCTTCCCCTGGACCCAAGCTTTGGGCACGGATGTCGAATTGCAGCAGCCAGCTGGATTGTCAATGAACGTGTTCAGACACAGCCCCGCCGCAGGCGCCGATGTGCTGTTGTAGAGTCAGCGTGGGCCGGATCGGGGGAATGGCACGAGGGCGCTTTCCCAAACCAATGCGAGCAAGCCCGCCGCAGGCGCCGATTTGCGTGCTCTGACAAATTCAGCGCGGGGGGGATCGTTGGTGGGCCACCCGGCAGGAATGCAAAAACAGCCCGCCGCAGACGCCGAAGTTTTGGCTTGTTCAGTGAACGTAGTTTGGGTCGCGGGTGGGTCGCGGGCGCTCTACCTCCACCTGGAAGGACTTCAAAAACAGCCCGCCGCAGGCGCCGAACATTTTTGATTTGTACACTGAACGCGGTTTGGGTCGCAGGTTCTCCGCCTGGAACGAATGCAAAAGAAACCCGCCGCAGGCGCCGAAGTTTTGGCTTGTTCAGTGAACGTAGTTTGGGTCGCGGGTGGGTCGCGGGCTCTCCACCTCCACCTGGAAGGAATTCAACAACAGCCTGCCGCATGTGCCGAACATTTTGATTTGTACACTGAACGCGGCTTGGGTCGCGGGTGGGTCGCAGGTTCCCCGCCTGGAACACATGCAAAATCAGCCCGCCGCAGGTGCCGAAAATTTTGGGTGGGTCGCGGGGTGGGTCGCGCGGGGTGGGTCGCGGGTGGGTCGCGGGTGGGTCGCGGGTGGGTCGCGGGTGGGTCGCGGGTGGGTCGCGGGGGGTCGCGGGTGGGTCGCGGGTGGGTCTCGGGGTGGGTCGCCGGGGTGGGTCGCCGGTGGGTCGCGGGTGGGTCGCCGATGCAAAAGAAACCCGCCGCAGGCGCCGAAGTTTTGGCTTGTTCAGTGAACGTAGTTTGGGTCGCGGGTGAGTCGCGGGCGCTCCACCTCCACCTGGAATGGATTCAAAAACAGCTCGCCGCAAGCGCCGCTACTTTTGATTTGTGCACTGAGCGCGGTTTGGGTCGCGGGTGGGTCGCAGGTTCTCCACCTGGAACGAATGCAAAAGAGACCTGCCGCAGGCGCCGAAAATCGTGGGTGGGTCGCGGGGTGGGTCGCAAGTGGCTCGCTGTGGGTCGCGGGTGGGTCGCGGGTGGGTTTCGGGGTGGGTCGCGGGTGGGTCGCGGGTGGGTCGCGGGCGTGTCACGGGGGGGTCGCCGGGGGGGTCTCGGGGTGGGTCGCGGGCGGGTCGCGGGGTGGGTGGCGGGTGGGTCGCGGGTGGGCCGCGGGTGGGTCGCAGGGCGGGTCGCGGGTGGGTCGCGGGGTGGGTCGCGGGTGGGTCGCGGGTGGGTCGCGGGGTGGGTCGCAGGGCGGGTCGCGGGTGAGACGACGACAACAACAAACAACAAACAACAAACAACAAACAACAAACAAGATCAAAAACAATAATCCGTATCGCGGGATTCCACTTCAGCCACGCACCCAAGAACAGTGAATGACCTATCGGTTCAGCCCCAGCATTCTGATATACATATATGTATATGTATATGTATATACATACGTACATACATCCATCCATCCATCCATCCATCCATCCATCCATCCATACATACATACATACGTAGCACCCCGCAATTGCGGATAAGAGTGAGGGGGCGGGCGCAGTCGCGCCAGCGGACCTCGTGGCCCCCACCTTCCCTGTCGATGGCGATCTCCTCCTCCTCCTCCTCCTCCTCCTCCCCCTCCTCCTCTTCCTCGTCCTCGTCCTCATCGTCATCGTCATCCTCCTCCTCCTCGTCCTCCTCCTCCTCTTCTTCCTCGTCCTCCCTCTCCGCCCCTCGTCCTTTCATCATCGTCCACCCATTGTCGTCCTCCCCCTCATCGGCCTGCATCATCGTCCTCCCATTGTCGTCCATCATCATCATCCTCCCCCTCCTCCCCCTCCTCGTCCTCCTCCTTCCCCTCCTCCCCCTCCTCGTCCTCCTGCTCCTCCTCCTTTTCTCTCCACATTATCCTTGCATCCTCTCTTCTTCCGCGTTCTCCTCGTCCCCTCTTTACTCCTCCTGCCTCCCCCTCCTTTCCCAAGATAACTGCAACGCAGTCCTTTTTTCCACTTTATGCTCCCCGCCTTCTCTGATCAATGCAACTCGCCAGGGCAAAGTTGCTGGACGGGCTGGTGTGGATGCGCGGGGCTTGAAGAGGTCCTTGCGGGTTCAGACGGCATGCGAAAATCCGCCGCCGCGCTTGTGCGGCATTGGTTTGTTCAGTGAACGTGGTTTAGGTCGCGGGTGGGTCGCGGGCTCTCCACCTCCACCTGGAAGGAATGCAAAAGCAGCCCGCCGCAGGCACCAACAAAAATTGGCTTGTACACTAAACGTGGTTTGGGTCGCGGATGGGCCGCGGGTTCTCCACCGGGAACGAATGCAAAAGATGCCCGCCGCAGGCGCCGAAAAATGCAGTTTGTACCCTGAACGTGGTCGCGGATTGGCCGCGGGCTCTCCACCTGAAGCGAATGCAAAAGATGCCCGCCGCAGGCGCCGAAAAATGTGGTTTGCACCCTGAACGTGGTTTGGGTCGCGGGTTGGTCGCGAGTTGGTCACGGGGTGGGTCGCGGGCTCTCCCCCTGGAAGGAATGCAAAAAAAAACCGCCGCAGGCGCCGAAAATGGTGGTTTGTACCCTCAACGTAGTTTGGGTCGAAGGTGTGTCGCGGGTGGGTCGGGGTGTGTCGCGGGTGGGTCGCGGGTGGGCCTCGGGTGGGTTGCGGGTGGGTCGCGGGGTGGGTCGCGGGGTGGGTCGCGGGGTGGGTCGCGGGGTGGGTCGCGGGGTGGGTCGCGGGGTGGGTCGCGGGTGGGGTCGCGGGGTGGGTCGCGGGTGGGTCGCGGGTGGGTCGCGGGGTGGGTCGCGGGGTGGGTCGTGGGTTGGGTCGCGGGTGGGTCGCGGGGCGGGTTGCGGGTGGGACGACGACAACAAACAACAACAACAAACAACAACAACAAACAACAACAACAAACAACAACAACAACAACAACAAACAACAACAACAACGAGAATCCGCACCGCGGAACTCTACTTCAGCCACGCACCCAGGGACAGTGAATGACCGTTCGGCCCCCCTCACTCTGACATACATAACCGCATGCCGATGATAATAAAGGGCCCCCCCCCCCTTCAGTGTATATTTAGAGTTGATTATCGTCGCTCTATACAAAATTCAAATTGGGCGGCGAGCGCTGAGGCCGAACTTCATTATCACCTCGAAACGCTATGTTGAGATAGCAACATCAAGCGATGCTGATATAGCAACATCAAGCGAAGCGATCACACTTTTTCAGGATGTGTCAAGCGAAACCAATAATTTTGGGAGGCAGACTCAAACGAAACGAGCAATGTTCTTATTATTATTATTATATTTTCCTCTTCTTCTTTTATATTTCTATCTGTCCTCACGCTCGCCTGAACTTTTTTATCGCTGGGGTTCATTATCAATGGAAAATGAAGCACATGAGCTACCCTGCACGAGCACTTAAAAACAACAATTTTCATAAAGCGTTTGTAAATTAAAATTGATAGATTTGAAACTTTGGAGTTTTCCTTTCTTCGTCCTCTTCTTATTATCCTCTTCTTCTTCTTTCGTATTATTCTTCTACTGTATTCTTCTTCTTTTATATTTCTCTCTGTCCCCACGCTCGCCTGAACTTTTTTATCTCTGGGGTTGATTATCCATGGAAATTGAGGCACATGAGCTACCCTACACGAGCACTTACAAAAACAATTGTCATGAGAGATAAGACATTGTTGAGGATATTTCTATGAAAACTAAACACCAAGGATGTCTCAAAACGTGCTCGGCTTGGTCTCCTCTTGATCATCTCTTACTTCGAGATTATGCTGAGGTCTGCTGGGCTACTTTTATTATCTCTCCCTGAACCCCGAACTTTATTATCCCCTAGCGTTTATTCTCTCACGGGCATGAGGTTACATACATACATACATACATACATACATACATACATACACATACACACACGCATTATTTACATGTATATATGTGTATCTATGTATGTATGCACGTATGTAAGTATGTATGTATATGCATGTATGTATATATGTATATATATATATATATATGTATCTGCGCATATATATTATATATATATATATATATATATAATATATCATATACATATATATATATATATATATATATATATATATATATATATCAGAGCAAAAGGGATCGGACATTCCAGCGGCAACAACCTCCTTTCCAAGCGAGCACATCAGACATGGCGTGAGACAGGCGGGCTGGCATGGGGCGGATCTGCGACGAGGTTGGACATGATCAGGGGGCGGAAGATTAGGACCATAGGGGAAGAGGACCACACCATAAGAAAACATACTATGATGTAGTATAAGATGAGACACCACTGTGGGCCTGCAGCTCTCGTCT